TAAAACTATGATAAGTTGTTATAAAATTGAAAATAAATGATTCACGACAGGTTAATATTACACCCATTTTGTCTGCAAGCAGCAACCAGGTTCGGAAATTGCTTTTTAAAAACTAGATAAATATATTTTTTAAAATCATTGTGATGATCATGGCTGCTTAGAAGTTGTTTGCTATTTTAAGCTTCGAAAAAATTGAAGGCCCTGCACGAAAATTTCTGGTTTGTTGGTTAAATAATGTTTTTTAAAACAACTCAATGAGTGAAAGTTTGTCCATCTAGGAGGACTTTTTTCATCTATTTGAAGCTCGCCTAGCATCGAATGAAATCGAAATAACTGAAGTTTTTTATGCAATGCAAAAACAAAGTCAGAACTATTTTTTAAAGTCTGAGCAGTTTCTTGAATCTTGTTTTTTATTTTGAAATTCTCGCTGTTGCGATAGAGTAAACTAGATATATTTAGCTGATATAGTAAGCTGAGTTTTAAAATCAGAAAGTTTTCCACTTTTTTCACAGTATATTACTGGTGAATTATAACCTCAGAGTTTTTTTTTAAAATATAAAAATCTGAAACAGGACCAAATTTTAATGAGGTCAGGCTATCTTAAGGTCCGAACAATTGATCTGGTTTTGAGGTCAACTAGTCAAAACTCATTAAACTATACAAGAGTAACTAGTGATCAGAGTCTAAATGATTAGTCTGTAATAATTTGATTGGTACTTTTTGATGCTTAGTTTTTCATGTCATTTGTAGTCACTTTCTCAATTCATTCTTTAACAAACACTAATTTTTCTCAAACCTCAGCTCAAATCTGAGATTGAATCTTAACAAGCTATGGGACCGGATTTCTCATTTCATTGTATTATTCTTTTGTCAGAGTGTTCAGCAATTAACTAACAACATATAGAAACAATGCACATGAAATTGGGCGGTTTTCAGTAGAAGAAAGTCTGAAGATTTTTCTTCTCTGTAGACAAAGTTTGCAGAAATGATGAACACCAGGGCCTTTACTGGATAGTCATGGGCAACGATGATCTGCCGGAGGCTGAGGCTACTCTCCCCGAGAGTACGAACGCTGATAAGCAGGCGGCCCACGATACTAAATGCAAGAGCGAGCACTGTTGATCCAGCAGAAAAAACACAATCAAAATTTAGTGTGGTTCCACCTGGCTTGAGCAACACTACTTTGAAATACAAAACAAAACAATCAAACAAAAATAGTTCAAAAACAAACAAATGATTATGGCGATGGGACGATGGCCTGGAATCTGCTTCAAGAGTAGTTTTGCAGTTTAGAGAGGTCAACGGTTGTCAGCCTAGCAGGCCAGTTTGCGAGGCGGCGCCTAGGATCAGAGAAGGATGTTGATGTTTGTTTCCCTCGCAGCCATGAGCTAACGGCGCGATTGAAAAGGGTCTTACACTATTCTTGCTTTGGTGATCAATGCGCTGTCTGGGAAGTTTGTGGTGCATGAGAGTTTTCAACCAACCTAGGTGTTTCCAGATTTGAGAACGAAACTGAGGAGCTACGATGACTTGAGAAACGTTCGATAGGGAGAAAAGACCTGGCTTGGTCAAAGCCATGCAAACTGCGAGAAAGAAACATCATTGCTTCTTTGTGCGGTCAAAAAGGTCATATGGCGAGAGACTGCAGATCTTGAAGTGAGAGGTGTCAGTCTAGTACTCGAGACAGTGGGTCGAAAGAGAGAAATGGGCCAGAGGCGAAGAAGCAAGAATGGTTCGAATGTGGTCAACCTTCAAACTTTGCATGGAAATGCAGGAAGGGGAGGATAGGGCTCTTTATTTACTGTGCTACAACTTCAATGAAAGGGAGACAAAAGAAAACTGGGTGACCTGATTATGTGGTGCGCGATAGGACTGCGTTTTCTAGCTTAGGAAGGAGGAACGAAAGAAAAACTTTGGAAAACCCCGATGGCACGCTGGCAAGGCTTGAGGGCGAGCACTCAGTCAGAGTAGAGATCAAAGACAAATAAAATGCTCTAAAGTTTTACACTTTCCACGACGTGCTCTTTGTCCGAGCTACAGTGAGAATTAGATGAAGGTGATCCAGCGATGACTCGAGGGTCAGGCGTCAGTTTCGCCGCAGACGTGTCTCATCTACTAGCACGTTCTTCCATGACAAGCAGGTTCTTCTATGACTTTTCAATTAGGGTGATCAAAAGTTCTACTAAATGTGTACAGCTTTCAAGACACAGAAAGCAGCAATGCAAAAAATCAATGAGTGCAGAGATTCGGAGGTGAGAGACGGCTTTTAAGTGGCATCCAGGACGATTTGAAGTACCGAGCAATCATAGGGTGCAACATGCTTTGAGCTTGATTGACGATTTCAGTCGGATGGCTGTCGTCAAGTACTTGGTGATGCACAGTGATTCTCTCCTGAAAATCCAGGAATTTGTGGCTAAGCGAAGCACCAAAATCTCTGCGATGAGTATTTGAAAGAGTATTTGTAAGAGCATTCAAAAGATTTTGTAGAGAATCCCTGGTAAAGCAACAGTTCCTTGTGCCCAGTATTCCTCAATAGATTATTGTACCAGAGTGCTACATCAGAGTACTCACCGTGATGACTCGATATCTGCTGGCGTAAGAAAATCTGCCGAAAACATTCTGGGTGCGAGCGATGTCGATAGCAACGAAAATTTGTGCTCACATCCAACAACGAGGATTGGTTTTCAACGAAGAAGTTGTACTATGGAAAACCATCACAAGTGAGCTTTTCACGTGTGTTAGGTTGCTTGGCGTTATATCTGGATCGAGACAACAGACGGAAACTGAATGCAATATGCAAGCAAAGCGAGTTCATTGGCTACGACAAGGAGAGCAAAGCTGTTTGTCAATCGATCTAGAAACAAGACGAATGGTGCAAGCAAGAAGCGTGACATCAATAGTGAAATCATTCCAGACGACTTCATAGTTGACAGTGAACCATTGCAAACCCTGGAGCTATCAATCGAGCGAATCATAATATTGCGCTACAAGCACGATGACGACCAGCGAAACACCAAGCGCACCAATTGAGAGTTTTACTACAGGCCCAGTGGTGTTACTGAAGAGAATCGGACTAAGGAGGTACCACTAGATTCATATACTTTTGAGCATCCAGTGCTGAGGTCAAATTGAACACGGAATCCTCCCCATAGTCTCGGATTGGCCTACACGCATGCTTCAGCTATTGAAATTCAAGAGCCAAAAAGCTATGCAGTGTCTGGACTCGGAAAGGAACAGTGGCTGGCATCTATGGCTAAGGATGTTACGTGTCTAGAAGCCATGAGAACGAAATTGGACTTTTGTTTTTAGGCCACAACCTCCAAAAATTTTACCTGGTTGATGGCTTCCTCCTGTGAAGAGAGACGCGATCGTAAAATGGACCTTTTCGAAGCCCAAAGTATAGCAAAAAGTTTCATGCAAGTGAAAGAGCTCGACTTCAAGGAATCGAAAGTCAGAAGTTACTTCTGGCGTCGAAGGCACAATAGATTCCGTCTTCATGAAATGGATGTTAGGTCAGTTTTCCTCAACTCGGCTCATACATGAGCAGTGCACATGGACACATGGAGAAACCTGTGAGGTTCAGCTGCGCTGGTAACTATTTGTGCTTGCATCAACAACGTCTTCATGGCTGAGGTAGGCATGAAGAAATTGGTACCAGATACTGAGCATTTATTTTAGTGAAGGTTTCACTAGGAGCAGCAACTATTTCTGAGTGTTCACGAAGAGGAGTACAGATGATACGATGGTTTATATGCAGGTTTGGTAGACGACGTCATCATTGGGTGCAGACAGAGGCTTATGGTCTGGTTCGTGGGAACGCAGATCAAGCAGTTAATTGGATCGGTAACAGTGAATCAGTCAAGCTACATCAACGACTAGTTGGAGAGTTTCAAACCAGTGATCAAGCCAGCGGATTTCAGCGGAGAACTATCAAAGAAAGAATGCGCATAAGCTGTATCAGTAGATGCGGCGCGATGAATACTGAGGACCGCAGATTAATTATACCCTCAGTATTATACATGTCTAAGCAGACAAGGCCGGAAATTGTAGCTACTATAACTCATTTTTCACAGTAGCTACTGGAGTAGACGGGCAGAATGGATAAGATTGGGTATATAGATTTCTTCGCTACCTAAAGAGGAGCAAAGATCTCGAGTTGTGCTACACCAAAGACGCTGAAGGCGTAAAAATTTATAGAGCCGCACACTCTGGCTACATATGTGTTTCAAAAAATTAGCCCAAAATAGTAGAATGATCTTGTTTAGAAAATATGCCTCCATGAGCAATTAAAAATTGACCACACTCAACTCTTTTTACTGCAAGATGGCTTAGGTAAAAAAAACTTGATGAAAAACAGGAATCAATATTACTTTTTAGGATCTTTAGGATCTTTCTTTTTAAGATCAAATATAGCAGCTAAGGTTTTGATATGTTTAGAGGGTTCTATCATTGCTTTGTAATATAAAAATTGGGCTAAAATTGTTCTGCAAAAACAATTCAATTAAAATTTTACCCGTGTTGTGTCAATTTTTAAAAACAATTTCTTCAAATTAGAAAAAATTGGCAAATGAATCAATTTTTTCTCGATACAAAAAATAATCATGAAAAATTTGGATGCTCCATGAAAATAATCATAGCTTCTTTTGTTAATAGATGTCTTGAAAAAAGATTTTGAAAAAAATAATGCTTAAAATTGGCAAACATGCTTTCACAAAGCAAACATTCTCATGTATAAGCTGAAAACGCATATAGTAGCAAATATATACTTCATACAATTTCAGTTTTTCACTTCAACTAGCCAAAAGTATACTGAAAACTCTCAAATTGTTTTTAATGTTCAATTCTATTGTATTAAACTTTGCCAATCAATAAAAAAGTTGACTATGTTTAAAAAACTGTGAGTTAAATTCGAGAATCAAGCGATTTTATGATACCGAAGAGCTGCTCTAACAACTCGAAACCGTCTCTACTGCAAAGACGCATTTGTTTTTTATATCATATGTTAAATATAAAAGAATCATAAATTAAATCACAGATGCGACTCAAATTTTCAAAAGAGTTTTTATAAGCAGTGTTTGGATTCATTAGCTATAAATTTAACTATAAAACTGCTATCTATGCGCAGTCTGACGGCTCAAAATGGTTTAAATTGAGCCGACATGGAGTCAAGTTCCGGTTACCGTTATTCGAGATCCGGGTATATATCGTCGTCCAATTACCGGTCGACACTCGGAGGAACCTCATCATCGGTAAGTCCGTCGAGCTACTCCAACAGGACATCCACGACTACAGCCGACTTTGTTCTGAGTCGAGGAGCTGCTGGAAGTTCTGGTCGGTCGGGGTCAAATGGTCCTCATTTGAGGTCTTTCACTACCATCGGTTCCAGTCCTGTTAATGAACATGATGGTTATTCCACTGCGGCTTCGAGCGGTTATCAGGTTCGGTAGTTTTTCTTTGCACAGAAAAAATATATATTTTTGATTTTTGTTTTGAAACGCCGAATTTACAATATTTGTTTAACGCTGAATTTTTCAAAAATCCTTTGATTACTGTTTACAGTTCATTCATATTAAATAGAAATTCGAAAACAAACCTGTGGGCTTCATGTGAATTTTTCAAGGTAATAAGCAAAGTTATTTTACATCGAAGAGCAAGTATGGGCGTATTAAGAGAGCAGAGAAAGTGAAGGATTGGTGCGCTTAAGATATAAAAGATTAAAGGAAAAGATCTGAGATTTGATTTCTCATGACTAGTTCTATGCTTTTACAGCCTGTAACCAATGATTCAAAAAATAATAATAATTCAAAGTGAACTTTGTAGAGACGTTATGGGGATAGAACTCGACGTTCGGAATACCACACTGGACTGGATTCTCAGAAACCAACCGGCGATGACGATGGAACCCAGGTATCCGGACCTACTTCCAGGTACCGCACTGGAGCGGCGTCGAGGAGGATAAATCGAGATAGAGAAAATCGAGACAGGGAGAACCGAGACAATTTGAAGTCGCCCAATCGGATGACTTCTCCGCCTTCGGGGGAGGGGAGGACAGCGAGGAATTACAGAGAACGGTCGCCGTTTTATCCATCAGACAGGGTAAAACTTAAGCTGATTTAAAAAAATAAGTATAAAAAAGAAAAATATGTGAAATAAAATCATAATTCAGTTCTTCCTTACATAAGAAAACATAAATGTTTTTTTTTGTTAATACAACCAGGCGCGGATCTAGGAATTTATCGATGGGGGGGGGGGGGGGGGTAAGCGGATTTTCAAAATCTTGTCGACTTTTTTTTAGGTCGACCAATTTGATTTTTCTGAGCGTCCTTTTTCTAAAAAAAATTGTCCTTTCGTATAACAGAAAATCTCTAAATTTTGTCCATTCTTCCATAGAGTCCTAACTCCTCTCGACCGGAGAGTCTCAAAATCCAGTCTCCGGAACCCACCTATGAGTCATCCTCCATCGCGTCATCAGCAACACCGGCCGACAGTGGGTACAACCCCTCAAGCGGGTCACATGGGGGAGATAACAGGAGTGGGGGAGGGGGTGGTCTGTGGAATAAACTGGAAGAGGGGATGCCTACGCCTCAATCTGCGTCTGGTCATAACCAAGGGGGTCCGGGGACATTTCTGTTCGGCGGAAAAGTGGCGCCCCCAAAATCTCAGGTAAAGTTTTAGAAACACTTTTTGTTTTTAATCAGATCTCGAAATATGCTGCAAATTTGAAACCATGCGCAGATCTAGGACTTCCTTGAGGGTAAAACCCTTTTTGTTGGCCAATTTTACCAAAAAGGTATAAAGACCCTATTTTGTTGGTTCTTTATTCCTTTTCATGAGCTTGTAAGCCACAAAAAAGTTTTTCAATTCGTTGTTCAACCTTGAAAAATTTTCAGTGTTTTGTTGAAAAAATTATGAGTTTGGTGAAGAAAAAAATTTTCTAAAAAGTTAATTTTTGTAAAATTTTTTTTTCCAGAGACACCAAGAGTATGATGAGGAGGATCCGAGACAGAAGAGGGAAAGAGAGAGGGGGGAGAGAGACCCCACAGAACAGGAGGCGGCCGAGGCTGCCATGAACAGCATGACCTCCATCAAAAAGGTCACAAAAAACTATCTTGGCAAAGTTCAAATTTTAGGAACCAAGATATTATACGTTACTTCTTTTCAGGAATTGGAGAAGAAAATCAGCGAGCTGGAGGCGGAGAGAAATGACGTGGCCAAGGCTGGTCTGAATAAGTACAAACAGCGGCTGCTGGACGAGCGAATCAACGAGATGGACGCTCAACTGAAGACACTTCATCTTTCTCATTCCGCCCTGCAATCGGCCGCATGGAAAAGCGAACAGGTCAGATGAAATTAGAAAAGTTAAATAGGCTTTTTTCCTTTTTTACTCGAGAACTTCACCAATAAAAATTTAATTCAGATTGTCTGATTAATCTGAAAATTAGCAGGTTGAGAAATATAATAAACATGTTGCAGATCTAAACAATATTACCCCTGTTTATGGACCTGTAAATTCACTGGGCGACCATGTAAAAGTAGCCTTATTTTGATCTAATCGTGTCTCAAATTGCATAAAGAGACCGATGTATATTTAAGATAATAGAAGGCTAAAACGCTTGAATTAAAATATGGAAGCCAAAAATAAGCATTTAGAATAGATGTCAAGCAAGAAAGCTTAAAAAAATCGAAATTAAACAAAAACTTTGAGAGTAAACTCAAAATTCCTGAAAAAAATCTAACCTTCAAAAGCTTAAAAATCAAACGTTCAAAAGCCAAATTAGCACTTAGAAATGTCAAGGAAAAAGCTTAAAAATCGAAGTTGAAAGAAAACTCAAACTTTCTAGATAAAACTCAAACCTTCAAAAGCATAAAAGCAAAAAAAACTCTTTTTCATCAGGTGGTAGAGCACACAAGTCAAGCGATTCGGATGATGGAGCACGACACCACTTCGTTCGAGAAGGTCAAAGAGGTCATGACCAAAGAGATCACAGTGCTCAAAGAAGCACTCCGACTCAGCAAGGTCTGCTAATTCCATTTTGGTCGCCAAGTAGCTAACGAAGTGACTTCACTGATTCAATTAACACTACTAATATTAAAAAGAATCATAGTTTTTCAAGCTTATATGACATTGATGATTGATGAAAAAACAATTATTTTTTTTTTACAAAAGTAGCTTTAGCCTGAGAGATCTATACTGAAAACCTTGCGTTTCTTTGAAACAGAATCTTAATTTCCGGTTGATTTTCGACAGAAAAGGATGGTCAGTTGAGACAACCGTCGCTGACCATGATTTTAATTTGCAAGTTAAGCCACGAGACTCACCGAAGCCTGAAGAAGAATTTATTCAGAAAAACCATTATTCAGAAAATCTGACCATTGAAGAGCCATAGCAGCTATAATTAAAGACCTGTTCACTTTTCTAAGCACTAAAAAAAATTGATAAAAGACAAAAAAATGAGTAAATCATCTAAGAAAAAAATTTTCTAGGCTCGTGTTGAGAAATTGGAGAATGACGTCACAGTTGCGGAGAACGGAGCTCGGAATGTGGACAATTTACAAGACAAGTTGGCAGCTGCTCAGACTGAAAAAGACAAGGCGGTCATGAGGGCTGAACGACTGAACAACGAAGCGAAAAAACTCAGCGACGAAGTGAAAACTCTGAAGAAGGTGTGAAAACTTCTTTTTTGTGCTTTACTAATGTATTATGTATATTTTTTCCATTAGCTCCGAAAAATTTTTACGTGAAGAAAAACAAGACATTCGTGTTCCCATTCAAGGGGCAGACGTTTCCCGAGGGAGGGGACTTATTAAACTTATTAACCGGGACGTACTAATTAATGACATCTATTTTCGGTCGAAATACACTAAAATGTTTCCAATGACGCCTTCGGCGCCAATATGTGCTAATTATGAGGAAGCATTTGCGCCGCAGTTTTTCGTCAAATTGTTTTAATAACTGCAAAATGTAATGTGTTTTTAAGAAAATTACCTGCAGGGTTTTTCTGTAAAATAGGGTTCATATAAAGTTTCATGAGAGCTCGAAAGTTCAGTTTCGTCGACCTAAAAAATTGTGAAAACTCAGTCGATCGAGAAAAAAGTTAACCCGCCCCTGATGATACTTACATTTTGAAAATTTATTGTTCCGATTTTCGAAGAAAACGGAATATTTATGCTCGGGGTGTTTTTTTATTCAGTCAATTTTCACCGATTGAAATAACAATTTATACCCCATTGACGATATTGACTCCCTGAGTTCAAATGTAAAAAAATAATTCACCTCCGATTTTTTTTTGTAAAGTTCTGGGGGTTTGAAAATTTCCAAATTTGCCATGTTCTCGACTAAATTATGTGCGCTTTGAAGAGTTTATTCATAATGCTGAGAGCTTGTTTTTTGTTCTGGGGAATTGAAAATTGCCAAATTTGCCATGTTCTGGACTAAATTATGCGCGCTTTGAAAAGTTCAATCTTAATGCTGAATTATTTATGCATGGAAAATTATCCCGCGCAACAAAATTGATCCAAATTGAATTTAGGCTAGCTAATTGGTCGTATTATTTTCGTACGACTCAAAATTTTACACTTTGATATTGTCCAAAATGTATAAATTTTCATCATTTTCTTTTCCCAAAAGCTTTTCGATATGAATTAAGGGACAGTAGGAACATTCAGGGTTTTGCCCTGATATACGAGCAGTCTTGTTCGCCTTACAATTTTTATGTGAAAGCTTTATTCGAGACTTTTTAGGTATCGAAAACAACAATGCTTGTTTATTTTCAGTTTGATTATTTAGAAAACTAAACTTGTTGTTCCGACTTTCGTAACGAAAGTAACGGAGTATTTGTGCTCGAGGTGGGTTTTTTTCTTCAGACAACTTTCGACTTTTTAACTAGCCATTTTTGACGAAACTTTTTTATATCATTCAAAAAATATTGTTATCCTGATCTTAAATTTGAAAATTTTTTTACCTGTGATCATTTTTTGTAAAGTTTTGGGGGTTTAAAAATTGCCATTTTGGCCAATTTGGGACAATTAACGCGCGATATATTTCGCGCTATTAACGCGTATGCGGAGATTGAATCCGTCTTAGAAATCATTCCAAATTGATTGAAAAAAGCTTATAGGCCATAATTGATTTGTTACAAGGAGCCAAACCTATCTATCCTTTTGTACTTTATATGTCGTGTAGGGAGCTGATTTTCACCAAAAATCTCAAATTTTAGAAGAAAAAAAATTTTATTTTATTTTATTACTTTCAATTTTTTTATGTAATTACTGCTCCATAAACCTTAAAAGGCAGTCGGAACATTCAAGGCTTCGCCTTGATACGAGCAGTCTTGTTCTGTTTTAGTCTGAGCTTGAAGCTAACCAGAAACTGGCACAATTTCGAGATGCAATAGAGGGCAAAAGAAACGAAGTGAACAAAACGAGGAATGAACTACGAAACGTCGAGTCGGAAAACGATCAAATAAAACAGCAAAACGAGGAACTTATTAACGTTAGGATCCACTCTTTTAACAAAAATCATTTTCGAGAGCTTTTGAGATCATTTATAATTCTTATTTTAATGATAATTTTTTTTCAGAAATTGGAAACTATGGAAACAGAATTGAAACACAGTCGGGAGTTGCTTAACGACAAAGAACTTGCCTTGCACCAATCAGAAAAATATGCCAAAGAGTTGAAAAAGGCAAGTTATATCTGCACTTTGCTTGCCTTAAGATGCAAAGTGTGCTTTAAACCTAAAAATTCGAGTAAATTCGAAAAAGAAAACAAAAAAAAGTTTTTGTTTGCTTGAGAGTAAAATGAAACTTTTAACTTTTCTATTTCATATTTTTCTCGAAAAGCAGCCCATTTGGTTTTGCTATCGTTTTCAATTATTTGGAAAGCGAATATAGTGGAAAAAAAGGCAATTGTTTTACACTGTTTTTTACAAATACGCGGTCCATTTTGTTTTGTTTTGGGTTTCTCTTTTTTTTTAGAAAAAGATTGAAATGGAGAGAAGGTTATAATTTTTTTTTCTTAATTTTCTCGAAATCTGTTCATTTGGTTTTGCTTAAGGCTTTCAAATATTTGGGAAAATAACCTAGTGAAAAACGGTGGTGTTTTTTTTCAAATATTTTTTTATGGATACGCGGTCCATTCCGTTTTGTTCTGGTTTTTTTTAGAAGGGGCTGAAATTGAGATGAAGTTATAATTTTTTTTTCTCGAAATGCAGTTTATTTGGTTTTGCGCATCGTTTTCAAAAAGTTGGAAAACGAATAAAGTGAGATATAGTGTAAATTTTACGCAGTCTATTCCGTTTTGTTCTGTTTTTTTTTATAAGAAACAAGACTGCAACTTTTATAAGACCAGTTTTATAAGTTATAGGTTTTTATAATACCAATGACAAGCAAAAACCTTTTCAACTACCCAGATTGCCTTAAATAATTTTAAAATAGAATAGGAATAAATATGCTGAATCTAAATTATCATTTCAGAAAGCTACTGAAGCGGAGGTTATGTCGAATTTTTTTCAGGTCATATATTTTTGATACGCAGTCCATTTAGTTTTTTCAATACTTTAAGGTTTCTTAGAAAAAAATTAAAGAAGAGATATTTTGAATTTTTCTTGTTCCTAGTTTTTTTTTTGACATTCAGTCTCCTTGACCTTGTTCTGCATAGTCCACTTTTTTGCAAGTGATTGGAATCGGCACAATTTTGAAACTTAACTAGTTTTAGTTCCGAAGCATTAAACAGCATACGTATTTTTGTCCATAATTTTTACGCAGTATTTTTTCTTTGTTCTAGAAATTGTAAAGTTTTTTAACTTTTTTTCTTCATACGCAGGCAGTCTTTTTATTTGTTCTTCATTTTATTTGTTCTTCATTTGAAAAAGCGATTGAAATTTTTTAAATTTGCAATCAGTTTGATCATGTTAAAATGATTATTACACGATATTAGGCTACGGCAAAACTGTTTGATAAGCATACATCGTCCTTTTTTGCAGAAATTGACCCAAATCAAGAAGGGTTCAAAACATTTTTTACGCTGATCATTTTTTTGTTCTTTTTTAATCTTTTTTTTTGGAAAACGACCGAAGTGGAGACCAGCTCTATGCCTGATTTCTTCTCGACACGCAATCGATATGGTTTCGTTTTAAAACAGTATTTTTTAATGCAGAAAGCGACCGAAATTGAGAAGGATTCGAAACTTTTTGTCAATACAGTGTCCGTTTTTTTTTCAATTTTCAGAAAACGACCAAAGTGGAGACCAGTTCTACTCGTGATTTTTTCTCGACACGCTTTCGTTTTGGTTTAGTTATAATACAGTATTGTGTGTTGCAGAATGCGACCGAACGCGAGAAGGGTTCAAAACTTTTTTTGATACCGCTACCCACTTTTTTTGTTCTTGTTTTTTGATCTTTTGATCTTTTCTTAAAAAACAATCAAATTGGAGACTAGTTCTAGGTGTGGATTTTTTTCTACACACCGTCCAATTATTTAGCTGTAACATAGTATTCTTTGTTGCAGAAAGCGACCAAAGTGGAGACCAGTTCTATGCATGATTATTTCTCGACACGCCTTTCATATGGTTTTGTTGTAACATAGTATCCGTTTTTTGTAGAAAACGACCAAAGTGGAGACCAGTTTTATGCGCGTCTTTTTCATCGACACTCCTTTCCTATGGATTAGTTTTAACACATTATCAATTGTTGCAGAATGCGACCAAAGTTGAGAAAAAATTCAAATCATTTTTTTTCATACGCTGATCTTTTTTTGTTCTTTTTAAACATTTCTTTTTAAATTAAAGAACTGTAGGTTTGCGAACAAATCTACAGTTCTACATTTGCGTGCAAATCTACACTTTTAGATTAAAGAACTTAAAAATTTGAAACTTTTGAATAGCATTTAACTTGGCAGAGTAATATATTTACAGAAACTATTTTATAGCTTGTACAATTGATTGAAAATGAAACGGCTAGTTTTTGCATTATAGTTCTCAAATTTAATACATGCACCACCTAAAATTACCACCTATTCTAACATATCACCCTTTTTTCGATACTGCTGTCCGTTTTTTGTTTTTCTTTTCAATTTTTTTTTCTAGAATACGACCGAAGTGGAGACCATTTTCTAAACACTCAGTCCGTATGCTTTTGTTCTAAAACAATGTTTTTTTTTTGCAGAAAGCGACCGAAGTGGGGACCAGTTGTTTGCGTGATTTTTTCTCGACACTCAGTCCGTATGTTTTTGTTCTAAAACAGTATTTTTTTGCAGAAAGCGACCGAAGTGGAGAGCAGTTCTAAACTGGTGGACGACTACGAGGAGAGGCTGAGCAGGGCTGAGATGGCTATTGAGGAGAGGGAGGAGCAAGTGAGACAGTTGAGACAGCAGCTGAACAAGAAGAGCAACTATTTCCACAACCTCACTCAAGAACAGGAGAAAAACAAGAGGTGGGGGGGGGGGACAGGGATCCAGTTACCCAATGGAGGGAAGGGAGGGGGTTTCATGCTACGTTTCTTCTTTTTTAATAAATGAAGAATTACTTACATAGTTAGCAAAAGATTTAGTTTGACCAGATTTTGATATATGGATTTGCTCAATTTTTTACTCAATTTTTATTGATTTTTTATTTTTTAGAAGTTAACATAGAAAAAGCGAGTTGATATCTGATTTTGCAACAAAAACCTAAAGCCAACCCGCAACAACTCGCTTTTAATATGTTTAACATTTCATGAAAAGTCGAGTTATCTATTATTTTGAATACTTTTCGGTTATAATCATTATTTTTTGACTTTAAGGAGACTGGCCATGAAAACCTAAAATTATCGATTGTATATGTCATACCGCTACTGCAGTAGCAGTATTTATATACGTATGTGCAGCTAACCTTTGGTGCTTAATCATTACTGTATGGTATGCTCAAGGTCATACGTGAGTGATGACACTGAGATAAAGCGAGAGATCAGAGTTCGTAACATTGATCTAACTCTCAGTACAACAACAAAACAAAAGAATAAGAAAACCTAAATTCAATAGTAAAAATAAAGTATTGAATTACAACTTGTTTTCAACTGATATCGCAACGCATATCACATGGCGCAGCCAGCAGGATTCGCAGCTCAAGACAACAGAACGGACATGGGAATTCCGGTATTTTGGGCGTCAGCGAATCTAGACCCTCCGTGGCAATTCAGAATCTGGTTCGAACAATTTCTCATGGCGGTTACGGTTAAAGAAAATGTGAACCCAGAGATTATTTTGGAAGAACCAAAAGACATATTAGAGGAACCACCACCACGCCCTGAAACACCCAGAGACGGGGAGAATGAAGATGCGAGGAACGCTAGGATTCTTAGAGATAAGCTAGCAATGGATAGAGTAGTATTGGAGAAAGAAGAGAGAAGAACAAGAGGACCACGAGTCGGACACAATGTCTTCTACAACGAAGTACAAAAGAAATTGGTGTCCAGATTATTTTTGTCTTTGGGTACAGAGGGAAAGAAAAGATTCCTGCAAAAGAACCCGCATGCTGAAATATCGAAAATGACGTTCAAGGAAATAACAGATTTGGCAGAAGTCTCGTTTCAAAAGGTAAAATGGGTAACATACGAAAGATACAAGTTATTTACGAGAATGCAAGAATCGGGAGAATCTCTGGAATCATTTCACGCAGCGCTAACTGCACAAGCAGCCCGATCAGAACTGGGAGCATTAGAAAATGAAATAGTCCGAGACCTGTTCATTTCAAAAATGAAAAACATGACCTTGCAGGACACGTTGACATTCGAGACTCTAGACCCGGAGGAGGTTCTGAAAAGGGCTATAAAATTCGAACATAGCAAGTTAACCACAATGGCGTTTCAAAAGACTAATGCTGCAGCTACAGGGGGGATCAAGTAACAATTACATCTCGGGTGTGAGAATAAAACAAGAACCTGTAATGGCAGTTAGAAATTTGGCGGGGACAAACAAAACTCCAAATAGAAGGGAATCGAATAAAAGACAAAACAATAACAAGAATCAAAACACGAAAACAAAACCATGTAATAGATGTGGAAGGACGTTTGAACAGGGACACCTGAAAAATTGTCCAGCGATGGGGAAAACCTGTAAACACTGTGGCAAACCCAATCATTTCGCTAAAATGTGCAGATCCCAACAAGTAAGTGAAGTTGCAGAAGACTCGGAAGGATCGGTAGAGGAATGCGATCAGATAAGTGAAGGTGTTGGGTCATGTAGCGAATTTGAAGTTATGTCGATACAAACCTATCAACCGGAAAACGAGAGAGTTTCAAAATATGTGAAAGACCGAATCAACGAAATGAGGGACAAACCAAACGGAAAAATGGTTTGAGTTCAGAAAATAGATTCGATCCGCGATCCAAACTTGAATCATGTAAAATCACTAAAGGCCATGGTACGAATAGATAACCAGATAATTCAATTAACAGTGGATACTGGAAGTCCAGTTTCATTTCTCAACTGGGCGACAACAAAAGAAATTATGGATAAATCAAACAAAGTAAGATTCATACCGTCCGATAAACTGAATTTACAAACCAAATTCAAGGACTACAACAAACAACCGATCAGTATACTGGGAGCCCTAAAAACCAATCTGAGGTCAGCGGGCTGGGAAGTAAAGGGCGCCACCTTTCTGGTATCAGAACGAAAAACTAGATGTATCATGGGACTAGATCAGCAAGGACAAGTGGGAATAGTGACTACACAAAAACCAGCGCCCAAGGAACTCACCAGGTTTGACGTGCTCATGTGCGAGCAGTCAGAAGGTTGGAAAGAAAAATTCTTCACTCAATTTAAAAACCTATTTGAAATACAAGGCATTTCGAAAAATCACATTGTCAGTTCAAAATTTAAATATCCATTATGTCCGATCCAAGAAAAGGGGAGAAGAATCCCAATTCACATACAAGATAAAGTCGAAAAAGAAATCGAGAAGTTGTTGACAGAAAATCATATAACAAAACTTGATAAATGTACAAGTGATTGCTTTATCGCTCCGATTGTGATAACAGTAAAGAAGGACGACTCAATAAAATTGGCAATGGATGCAAAACCAATCAATAGACAATTGTTCAAAAACAAATACCAAATGCCAAATGTAGATGACCTCATTGATGGGGTAAGCCAGATTGTAACTGAAAACAAAAAGGGTCGCTATATTTTTCGGTGTTAGATTTGAAATATGCGTACAGTCAATTAAAATTGGCTGCAGATACAGCTAGACAATGCAACTTCAACATTGTTGGTGGAAAAGCAACTGGAACCTACAGATTCTTGACAGGGTTCTATGGTTTAGCAGATATGCCAGCTGAATTTCAAAAGGCTATGGACAGAACCATCAACCACGCTAAAAACACGTTCTGTTTTCTGGATGACATACTTATTGTGTCAAAGGGAAGTGAAATTGAACATGCAAATTTGGTAGAAGCAGTATTAAAAAAATTGGATGCGGAAAATTTGGCGTTGAAACTATCAAAATGCGAATTTTTCAAACAAGAAGTGAATTGGTTGGGTCATCATCTCTCAGAGGCAGGAGTTAAACCAAAAATCACTAAAACGGAAGCAGTAGTAAATTTAAACCCGCCGAAATCGCTTAAACAGCTAAGGTCATTCCTGGGAAGCATAAATCACTTAGCTAAATTTATACCCAACGCAGCAAGTCTGACTGAAAAATTAAGACCACTTCTAAAAGAAGAGAATCAAAAGAAAAAATTAAAAAACATGAAACTCCCGGTGAAAAAATTTGAGTGGGGGGAGGAACACACCGTAGTATTTAATGCTATAAAAGAAGCTGTGGCAGGTATAACAAAAGTACATTATTACGATGCGACTCGAGAAACACGAGTTAAATGCGATGCTAGCCATGATGGGTTAGGGGCTACTTTAGAACAACAAAATGATGAAGGCATGTGGGTCCCAAATTCATTCGCATCCCGATTCCTAAATGCTCAAGAAAAAAAATATTCAACAAATGAATTGGAGTTATTGGCAGTTGTTTGGGCAGTAGATAGATATAAACACTACCTCCTGGGGACAACTTTTATCATTGCAACTGACCATAAAGCGCTTACAACAGCATTGGATGTCAACAAATCAAACAAGACCTACCAATCACGTTTAACCCGGTGGGTTGACCGGTTTTTGCCATATCAGTTCAAAATAGTTCACATTCCGGGGAGGGACATGAGCATAGTTGATTATTTATCGCGTGATCCCTTCAATGATCCCTGGCCCGAATCAGAATTAGACGAAAAGTTTGTAGTAGCGACAATAAACTCCTTTCATGAAGCGTTCGACTGCTGGAACAGTAGGGTTAAAAAAATTGGGTCGCTCAACCGGAACGAAAACGTTCTAGAATGTTCTAGAAGGAATGCTAAGAAACAGTCATCAAGTAATGGTTGCTATAGCAACCAAAACGGTCAAAACCGAACAAAGCTCGACCGGAACGAGAGAAAACAGTTTTCACGACTGCAAAAACAGCAAAACACAACAGTTCAACATAAGCAAATCACTTTTTCGTCAAATCAAGCCAACAAACAGTCAGTCTTAAATAAATTCAAAATCATAAAACAACCAGTACCGGAAATTAAAAAAAAACAGACTCAAAGATCGAGATGTCAGGAAACGGAAACAGATCATACGACTGGTGGTCGAGCTCACCACAAGAATGGCGGAATGAGGAGCGCGAGGAGAGTCTAATGGACCCAAAGTGGAACCGCTCACTATCCAACACAAATGAACTTTCGGAAGAGGAGGAGATCACAGAGACAGTTCAGCGTACAAGAAAAATAATTCGAGGGGGCCGGAAAAACAGAGATAGCTCCGACAGTGAAACACGACATGCATCACGGGTGAAATGGCAGCTGGAACCGGATCAACAAAGAGAAGCGGATCAAAGACTACTCTCATTCTGGCAGTTAATAGGCGGACAAGACAATGTTCAGGAAAATAGAGAACTGGTGGCACACACCCAAGAAGTCAGTGACAGCTCGGAACACAAATCAAGTTCAGCAGTGACTAAACCGATCGCATCGGCGGAACGGAAACTCAGTGAGGTGCAAGTAATAGAGATGGACCTGACAACCACAGAAGAGGCGGAGAGTGAAGAGGAAGTGTGCTCAATAGAACCGCCAAAGGGACTGGGAAAAACGAAACTGCAAAAGCAGCAACAAGTAGAGACCTTGGACAATCTAGCAAAACTGTTCGACAAAAGTTTACTAGCAGAATTGACCACAGAAGACACGTGGATGGACCGCCTCAGACGAGTGATCGAAAGAGGGGACAAACAAGGATTTGAATTGATGGGACCTTATACAAATCCTTTGTGGTCACAGATGGCAGTTCAGGACGACTGCATCTTGGTGAATAACCGGCTAGCAGTTCCAGTACAACTAAGACAAGCTGTCCTGAAACGAATACATCGAGGGCATCCAGGCCAGGAGGCTATGTTGGGAGCAGCGCAATATCTGTGGTAGCCTCATATGAATAAGGACATCGTGAATTTAGCAGAGGAGTGCCGTAGCTGTACCAGATATGGTAAGAATGTAAAATACTTTTTTCAAAAAATTCGTCAAAACCACTGCCACTGCTCACGCAGCCGGGACAGGAGGTACAATTAGACTACGCGGGGCCTATAGAAAATCAAAAAGGAAAAAAAATCTACCTTTTAGTAGCTATAGATCGATTCTCAAAATTCCCATCAGTGAAGGTTACGAAATCCACAAGTGGAAAGTGCACAGTAAAATTCTTGAGATCATATATCGACACACATGGAGTCCCTGAATCAATTCGTTCGGACCAATTTTCAGGCTTTAAGGGGAAAACGCTAAAAAAATTCTGTTCGGAACTCAATATCGAGCAAAAATTTTGTCCGGTGGGGGACCACAGAGGTTGTGGTTTGGTCCAACGTACAATCCAAACTATAAAAAGAAGACTGGGAGTGATGATGCTCGAAGAAAATAATAAATCAATCAAATTATGTCTCAGCACTATAATGAGAGATTTGCGGTGGAACAAGCAGAAAACAATTCAAGTATCCCCGTTTCAAGCACATTTCGGCAGACTACCAAAAACAGAATTTAAAATTGTGAGGGATAGGTTTTTAAATAATTCTGATTATTTAGACAAACAACACTTGGAACGCTCAGCACTGACGGCCTCCCAACTGAAACGGAGAATTGACCAGTCGAGAGAGAATCTCAAAATAGTGCGCAAGGGACAACTTAGCAGGGATACAAGCCCACTGCACAAGCAGCCGTTAACATCGGACAGAGACAAAGAAAGGGCCAAAGCTCTAAAGGAATTGTTGGAGGCGAACGCCCGTTGGAACAACGAAAGAAGGGACGCGGCTAAAAACGGGAAAATTGCTTCAGAAACGGACTCAACAATTAAGACATCGGCCGGTTCGATTTATAGGAAATCGGATATAGCACAATCGAAAACGGTACTGACACAAGAAAATCAGAGCACGAGTAAAAGTCCATCGTTTGAACCTACAAAAAAGTTTAAGAGAATCAGTTCTCCAGAATTACTCGAGGAGCTGGGATCAGAAGACAAACTTCAAGGAGAAATGGAAATCGCAGATGCAATGAATCCCACAGAGCGTTTTCAGAAAAGCCAAACAATAGTTACTTCTAAGGACACAGAAGCCGGGGGAGGTCTGAATCTGGCAGTCAAAAGAGCAAAACCCAATTTGGCGGGCCCAAAATCAACTATAGAGGAAAATATCACAAACAAGCCGGAGAAGAGCGGAAAGGAAAAGAAAGGCCGAAACAAGCAGCAACAGGGGACAAGCCAAACTGCGACTGCAGCCAACCTGGAACAGGAGCAATCGACATCTAAGCCGGAAAGAGTAGACACCAAAATTCAGTCCAGTTCTACGCCAAAGGCTAAACAGCGGCCGAAATTGAAATGCATTGACTCTCACACTCCTTTAGAAGACATAGGCGACAAATTTCACAACCGCAATTTAGCACCGTCCGAATGGGAGAAGTACGCGGACCAATTGTTAAAAAGAGGAGTACAGCGAGTTGCAGACAAAATTTGAGGAAATCCACAACAAAGTTCGGAAATGGACACAAATTTCGAACCACCACAAGGATTTTCGGACGAATCAAGTACGGAAGAGTCAGGTATTAGACGAAGCTCCAGACAAACGAAAAACAAAGAACCTAAACGATTCGGAGATCCGATAAAGCACTCAATTAAAGAAATATCAGAAAATCTCACAGGGAGAGGTCTTTTAAAGGAGGCACTTAAAGAATACAGAAATCAACTAAGAGATTTCAAAGATCGTAACGACAAACCAATGGAATCAAAAGTGCGACGACTCGAAAGACATCTGTTCATGCGAAAATTCGGATACGCTACACTAGACGAGGGAGTCGATTGGAACCCGAGTTGGGAAATAGAGCTGGAAGAAAACTGAAAAGTCCATAATCTAAAATCGTCAATTAACCAAGAGACTTTCTTTGAACTGAGTATATTGAACTCTTTTTAAATGAATTATCCTACTTATATTGTATAATTTATTTCTTCCACCGAGGGGGGTGTGTCATACCGCTACTGCAGTAGCAGTATTTATATACGTATGTACAGCTAACCTTTGGTGCTTAATCATTACTGTATGGTATACTCAAGATCATACGTGAGTGATGACACTGAGATTAAGCGAGAGATCAGAGTTCGTAACATTGATCTAACTCTCAGTACAACAACAAAACAAAAGAATAAGAAAACCTAAATTCAATAGTAAAAATAAAGTATTGAATTACAACTTGTTTTCAACTGATATCGCAACGCATATCACAGTATACTACTAAGTTTCAATGCGGGGCAGAGACTGAACTAAGTTTGCTACATTGTCTCAGATTAATAATTTTTAAATTTTTAATGTCAACAAAAATGCACCTGTAGGAAACAATCATACAAAAAATGCCTAATTCATAAAACTTCTACTCATTAAAACAACTTCTATCATAACACAAAGGTAAGCTAGATTTATGTATGATTTTCAGAAATTTTATTAAGGAACTCTGGCAAAAGATCAGAGTACATTCACATCAACTGGTTATGTTTTTGCGATAAAGACAGGTCAACAAACATAATAATAAGAAAAACATGAAAAATGAGAAACCTTATTTCAAAATGTAAGTTGACAATCTTATTGTAATACCCGAACTTTGAAAAACAGCAGATTGTTTTTTTACCAGCGGTAGCGAGTCGGGTGATCCAGACAGGTAAAACTGATCTCTGTGACAGTGATTGATTACAAAAACCACAAAACAATTGTGCAAAATTATTGAGATTGATATAAAAAAAACTTTGGTATATTAGTTTCACAGACTATGTACTGAATGTGCTTTCTCTGCTAATTTGAGCATATTTAAGTTTGTTAACAGCATAGCTCTATTTTTTTTTCAATTGGCTGGTATTGTAATCTATCATTGATATAATTTCATCATCAATCACTTTTTGTCAGCCTACTCACTCCAACGGTACAAGTTTGATAGTTGGTTGCCCATAAAAATTATCACCCAAATTTAAACGAAAATAGAACAGGTTTCACGTAAAACAATAGGTCTGCTTAAAAACTATGCAAATCTGAAGGCTTTTATTCTGAAAATCTAATGATTTAAAGAGATTTTAAGCGGGATTCAACTATCACACTTATACCACTTCTCCCATGAAACTGTTTCCCAGTTACATCATCCCATTGTTAAATATCATCAAACTGTTTACCAGCAGAGAATTTAAGGGGGGACTCTCCGTTTCTTCATGGTTTTGAACTCCCTCGCCACACTTGGTACCCTTGTAATGAATTTTTTTTCGGTAGACTGAACCCTAAATTTTCTTGAAGCGGCAGTATACTTTAAAGCTGTGGAGGACTACAAATTTGAGGAAAGCTTGAAAGAGCGCAGGTTTCTGTCAAAAACTTCAAAAAATCTCATTTTGTTAAGATTTTTCCAAAAAAGGCCTCGGAAGTTCTTAGATCTGCGCCGGATATTTACCATGATCCAATCAAGCAGAATTCCATATTTAAATTTTCATAAACTGTATTCCTGAAGAAACACCTCATATTATCATTTAATAATCAAAAGTGTGAAATGGCGATACTTCAAAAAACATCAAAAAAAAACTTTTAGGTTAGAAAATGACGTGGAACAACTGAGGCAAATGGTGGCGGAAAAAGACGAGATGTTGAGTTTACTTGAGTTCCAAAAGAGCATCTTAGTCAAAAGTGTAAGACAGTCTTTTTTATTAATTAAAACTACTATAAAATTTCGTTTGCTTGAAAAATCTCCACCATTAATTTTTGTTCTGTTCTGCAGTCACACCTTGGAAAAATAACAGAGCCTTTTGAAGCCCAGATTGACCATCTAATGGCAGAGTTGTCCCTGGCCAAGTAAGTATCTGCGTTATTTGTTTTTTACTCTGAAGCCTCAAATTGAACGCTTTTCGTCTAAGTTATTTTCTGCTTAGTGACAAAATGCAGGAATTGGAGAGGATACGGGACAAATTAGTCCAAGAAAAAGTAGACATGGTGGTAAGTATGGATTATGATAACAACAACCCACCAGAAATACTTTAGGCGGCGGGGGGAGTAGCCTGGGTCTAAATTAGATTTTTCAGCCAATCAGAGTCGATTAATTTGCACGAAGATTAGACACTTTTTAATCTAAATTAAATAGTGAAGTGGCGGATTTTTACTCGGTCTGTTTCGGGGCAAGGGGGGGGGGGGGAAGGGGGTTGGTTCGAGCATTTATCTGGCCTGGACGTTTTATTTTAAGAAAAATTTTCACAGCAACAAAAATTCACGAAGCGTTCCTTAAAAAACTTAAAAGCTAAAAGCTCCGCTTCCTCCAACTGAATGCTCCTGTTGAATGCATTCAAAACTTAAATATACTACTTTTCACCTGCAATCAGAAGCAAATGCAAAATTTTCACAAAAAAAGGATGTTCAAACAAAATTTTTAAAATTTATTTGAAGATTTTTAGGCCAACATAATTGTGCAAGCTCGCCTTAAAACCCTGAAATTTATTTTTTTTTGGAAACATTTCGGAGCGACACGCCAAGTTTTGAGTCTCAAAACTCACAATCAAAACTCACTGCCATTTTTTTTCAGTCTGGCGCGAGTATTCCATTCGTCGGTGAGTTGATGCACTACAAACAAGCAAACAACAATCTCAACAACTCACAAGTGAACAAATGTGAAAAGTGTGCCTATTGGAGAGACAAGCATGATCAACTAAGGAGTATCAACTCGGATCTGAATGAACAGTTGTCTCAATTGGGAACTCAGCACAACTCACTCAAAGATGTGGTCAGATCTGTCACGCCATACGTCGAGAAGTAAGTTCAATAGCCCAGTTCAGTCGAGAACAATCGAAAACGGTCAAAACGTTCTAAATATAGCCAGTTTGGGTCAAGTCGGTCGAAAGAACCATTTTTGGTTGATTGATTCGAAATTTAAGTTGAATACCACAAACAGGGTACGCAATAGCTACTTTAGGATTTTCATCAAAATTCTAAAATATAAATCCTCTCTCTGATTGCCCGGGTCGAGGTGTTCGACTTATGTTTCGACATTGAAAGTCGAGCAAATGCAGTTTTGCGACTGAAATTTTATGTCGAGAAGCACGTTTAAGTCGAGCACAAAGTCGATTTTGGTCAAGGAAGTCGAAACACAGGTCAAGACTGTCGAAACATACCCGGTTTTGGTCGAGAGTCAAAACATAGGTCGAAACTGCCGAAACATACCCGATTTTGGTCGAAAAAGTCAAAACATAGGTCGAGACAGTCTAAACATACCTGATTTTGGTCGAGAAAATCAAAACATAAGTCGTTTTAAAACCTTTTTAAAGGTTTAATTTAAATTTAAATTGGAAATTGAGCAAGAAAAAATCTTCTCAAAAATGACCTCCGTCAGAAAGTTGCAACACGCAACAATCCATTGAGGAGATTTGCTTACCGCAAAACTAGAAACTTCAGAGAAAATCTCTTTTGAGTTTTGAAAATCTTAGGAGTCCAAGGAAAATCTAAGGTAAGAGGGTAGATAGGGGTTAGATAAGGGGGGTTGGAGGATATATGGGGGTGGGGATGGGTGTGCGGATGAATATGGGGGATTGGGTATTTTTTTTTTCGGTGTTAAAATTAAGAAGACCTGGGTTTAAAGTGTAAGGGAGATAGTTTTGAAACTAAGTAGGCTAAGAGTAAGGCTGAAAAAGCATCAAAATTGCACAATTATCGGTGAACAACTTTAGAGATTATATGTCCTTATAATCCTTTATATTGGATCTAAAATGGATTATAGTTGAGTTAATTTTTCTGAAATCAATAGATTAAAAGGATTATAATCGATTGCGTGGTCCCAAAGTGTAATAGATTAGAATGCCATCATTTTGAGCAAAATGTTGGTTAAAAGTGTTTTCTTATACATGAAACCTCACTGCGGGTTGGTCAATCCGGTAAGCCAGACAAACGTTTGGTGAGAACAATTTACTCGAAGGCGTAATCTGTAAGGAAGTAAAGCATTGATTATTTGAGGTTTTTAATTTTGACACTAACAATTATTTTTCTAATCCTAGCCTTGTCTTCAATCTCCCTAAAAGCAGAAAACTTTTTTGATTTATTTTTGGTTATTTTAGTTACCAAAAACATAGTTTTTTTTGGTTATTTTGTGTTTTCAATTTTTGTTTTGGCCATTGAAAATGAAAAGAAACTAAGCGTGTGTTTTAGTTTTTATGCACGCAAAATCAAGTAGCGCAAATAATCGTTGGACTGATTCGAGTGATTTATCATTTGAAACCCTTTCAATTGTGATTCAAACGATATTTTAAAAAGTTCAAAAATTGTCTCAGTTTCAAGAGAAATTGATTTAAAATTTTTGAAAAATTTGGGTCGATTTTGTGGGAGTAAAGCGAGTGAGCAAACTTATTCTGAAAGGATAAGAAGAGTTTTGAATTTTGTATTCAAGCCCTGAAAAGTTAATTTTCTTGTAGTTTTCGAACGCCATTTTGGGAGTGAAAAACTTCAAATTTTAAAAAGTTGTACAAAAATTCTATGATTTTTTTTCTTGTCATTTTTTGACAAAAGCTGTTGCCCAATTTGCCTATTTGGTTATGACTGTCAATTATGTCAAAATTATAGGCTGTCGATCAGATCCTTTTTCACACCTAAGCTCAAAAAATGACACCAATTTTAAACTAAAATTTTTTTCCAGTTTTTTGTGGGAATATGGTCGGAACATTCTGAGCTACTTGCTTAGCAACCGTTTATCCTTTTTTTAGGAAATGTTTTATAATAAATCTGTCATAGTTTTTAAAAGACAAGATAGACCGAAAATTTTCTCTTGTTCGCAAAATTGGGTGTCTGAATAGCATATATTTTTGATGGGTTTTTCCGGAACCTGAGGCCATACTTTTTTGCTATCTTAATCAGCTGATCTATCAATATAGTTGAGCTTTTCTAGTAAAAATGAACAAAAAAATCGACAAAAAACAAACAAGAGTAAGTTGCCGAGTTCGAACCTGTTTTCGACCTGCTTAAGTCCCTTTTCTTACTCAATGAACTCAAGAAAACTTGTGCAACCAGATGTTTATGAACCGAAATTAGAACCCGTCTTATTGTAATTGTTTTATTTTCAATCGCGTATTTTTTTTTACGAGTTGTTGGAAAACCCCAAAAAAAATGAAGTTAAAAACATGATTTTGGATCAATTTTTGATAGAGTTGATAAAATGTGATAGTTTTTTCTCTTAAACCGTTCAATCTCGAATTGCAAAGTCCTCAAGTAAAATTCAGTGCATAAAACTGCTTTGAAACAGTGTTATTGTTTTTGAAGTCATTCTCGCCATATTTAGAGCCAGCTCCGAAACTGCCGACATTCTGGGCGAGCTGGACACACTCCGAAGACAAATGGGAGACAAAGACAGCGAATTACTGGAGGCCAAACGAGCCGTGAATGCTCTGCAAGACCAGGTAAAATTTGAATTGAGATTTGAAATTGGACTGAACGGTTTCCTATCAGAAGAACTAAAGTTCAAAAAACTAAAGTTATATGGAGTATTTATTAATTGCTTTTTCGATGATCAAAACAAATAGCTTTTAGTTTGATTATAATACATTTATATATATATATATATAATATATATATATATATATTATATATATATATATATATATATATATATACACTCCTTAATTTTAATAAACTAAACTATCCCTTCGAAATTTAAAAAAATCTCATCTTAAAGTCCAAAAAAAAGGTCTTGTTAAAAAGAGATCAAATTTTGAAATGTATATTTTTTAAAATGATGTGCATCCGTTTTCAAACCAAGGTCAAGTACATGAGAGGTCAGATGAACCCCGACAACCCCGTAAATGAAGACCAGGCAGGAGGTTCAAATGGTAACGTGTCCTTCTCTGAATGGAAACCACTGGTTGAAGACTGGGTCACAAACTACGAAGTGCTGAAGCAGAAAACTGAAGGCCCAGAAACACTACTTCCAACAGATTGCAGCGGTAAGAAAAGAAAATTTAATCTTAAGAAAAGATTTAAAATTAAAAAGTTAAAACGGTTCAAAAAAAGGCTTGGTAAAAAATTAACCAGCTTAGGCGTTTTGCTGTGCACGTAACACGAAAGTTCCGATCACAGATAACATAGCAAATAGCAAAAAACTGAAAAAAAATTGAATTGATTGCGTGTTACCTTCTTCATATGTTGTGAAATTGGATCAAAATATGATCACAGAAATGAAACTGCATTCATGAACTGAATTATTTTTTATAAAACGTAAATATAACTATTAAAGCGCAGGATTTTTTGAACGAGTAGATTTTCTTAATTTTCAAAAATGTGTTAGGGTCTTCAAAGCCAGCGGAACGTTTTCCACTGCGTAGAGTTCATAATTTGTGAACTTGATTATTTGTATTATGTGAAGTTAATTATAACAGATTTCGGGTGTTTTCTGCTGCACGGCCCAAAAACTGATCTTTTTTATCTTTTAAAAGTTTGATTATAATGTTCGAATCTGATTGGTTGAAAACCATATTAGCGAAATGAAATCTTTTAAAATTTGAATTCAGACGCAGGTATAAATTACAAATTAGTATCAAATTCACTGCGTCTGGGACACTATACAGGCAGATTTGCCAATCTAGTGCCGTTTTTCTTTAATTCAGGAAAGATTTGCGAAAACCTGTAATTAATTAGAAAACAACAGCTCATAGAAACTCCGATTGTCTTTTAAATATGCCACCATAATGTTTGCAAAAAAAATCCATAAATCAATATCAGACTTTTTCGGGTTTAAGTTTTTGGGATTACATTGTTTTTCTGAGCGGTATTATAACATTTAGTTAGCTTAACAGAAACAGCATTAGCCTTTTTTGTGAAAAGGCTAGTTTTACCGGCAAAATACTTTCAGTCTTTGACCCTGTTGAGCGACGACGAGTTATTGAATCAACATGTAACAAACCATTCGGAGATTTTTTTAGCAGCTGGTCAGACATTTCTTTAAAATTTTGACTAAGAAAAGTTCAAAAACAGTATCAATTATACTAGTTGTTACTAATATGATCAAACTTTCTTTTGAAAAATATGGTTCGTAGCACTTTTTCTGAACACTTTAACTGAACAATTTTTGATGCACAAGAATACGCAATCAAACCATATGAGATTATTGGCGTTGCTTAAGATTTATAAAACTGTATCAGACATTTTTTGAAACAAGACATTGGGCCCGGTACATTACTTAATTGAATTTTGCTAACTTTTTGCAATCTTTGTCCATATGTCCATAAAACTGAGGTTCCCAGATATTTAAAGGTGCTAGTATATTCTGAAACATGATCAGCATCTTGGGTTTCAATGAAAGCATAAGCTCAATTAACAGTCTTTTAGTTTTTGAACCGTATAACAGAATAGCCCCCAAATTTGTTCTATTTCAGCTGCGCGTGGAGGAGGCGGATGTCAGCAGGTGTTTCGGGGGTGGTAACGGGGACCAATTGAGCAGTAGTGTGCGGAGGGTGTTTGTTGAGAAGAACTTCCAGATGGACACTCAATTGAGAGAGTGTGAGATTGTTCACACTGAAATTGAACAAATGATCTTCAACGTCAACATGAAACTCAATGTGAGTTGATATCAATGAGTACATTCATCAACTATTTTCTAGTATACGCGACATACCCATTTTGAGTCGCAAAAGTCGCGCGACATAAGTCGCGGACCTCGCACAGGGGAAACCTCCCTCTCTCTGTACTTGGCAAGTTTTAACTTCGAGTATAATATAAAACCTAAAAAATATCTCAAGGCAAATAAATACTTTTTTGGATCTCTTAACTATTTCCCCCTTTTTGCTGGAGATAGATTCGTTACTAGGTTCAAAATTTCGCATATGCTTAACCGTTGAATTATTTCATTATAGGGAAGCCAATTCGTTACTAGGTACCAAAGAGGGGGAATAGTTAAAAAGATCCCTTTTTCTAATGTTTTGTGCCATTTTCTGTGTGATGAAAACACTTCGTTATAATATCCTACCTGTAACGGAACTAAAAGTCCAAAAAGGAGCAACTTATCGGGGAATCATTGATATCTCAAAATGAGGTTAATGTGAACACTTAATCGCCTTTTTGATGAAAAATCAAAGTTGAAGGGTGATGGCTCATTCGAATTTCTGGACAAATGAAAAAGTACTTCAAACATCGAGATATAATTGAGGCCTGCCTTTTATTTCAGTAAAAAACTTGCAATACTAGGGCTTTCATATTTTTTTATTTTTCGCTACGCACATACTTTTTTCTAGAAATACTCCACCTACAAAGATCAAAGTCACCGCCTTCAAGAACACGCCAGACACCTGAACGAAGAAATTAGTCAACTTCTCGCAGCCAATGAGAAGCTAGAATCAGACAACCAATCACTGAAGGAAGATCTCAGCAGAAAAAGAACGAACAGCAATCAAACTAAGGCTCTGTTGGAAAAAGACGGTCAAATTATAGATTTGAAGAAGTTGCTGAACTTGAAGGAGCAGGAGGTCGAGAAGATGTTGTCGTCCCAGGAATCTTGGGTGACGGAAAGGCGGAATCTCAAGATTAAAGCCGATGAGCTACAGACCAATTTGAGAGAAAAGTAAGACCTAGATTTATGAATTAGGGAAGCGAAATTAGAAAGGAGAACTGGAATATCATCAAGATTCTTATCTTTTTTTTCACCCAAAGAATCACCAGTTTCTGATTTCTGAAAGGAAATTTGTTTTTTGACAGACCAGCCGTGAATATTGTCGTCCTTTTTTGTTACATTTTCTTTAAACTTTGCTACGACGTAGAAATTTCGGTCAAAATTTGGTCTATTAAAAGTTTGTGCAATATCGGAAAACTAATTTAATTGATCTATAAGTTCCTTCAATCACCCCCCCCCCCCGCTCCTTTTGATCCCCACGCAGAAGTCAAAGATCCGCATCTGATAATCAGCCTAGAATTTGCATTTATCAGCAATGTACTTCAACGTTGATTTCAACAATTCGACTACTGTAACGTAACTGATTTAAAATTTTGAAAATAGTTTTTTTCTTCACAAGCTCACGAGGTTGATCATATACTTAATGCTAAACTTTAGATAATATCGGTGTCCTTGAGCGAATTAATCTGTCAAAAAACCATGCATTAGGTTAATTAGTTTTTTGGAACACTTTCCTGCGTAATGAAATGTGTGAAATTTTGGTTTCAGACGTTAAATGAGCATTTTTAGATTTATTAACTTGTTCAGATTCGTAGCCAAAATGAATTTTGCAAAATTTTTGGCACTAGCTATGATTATTAGAATCAGGGGCGGATCTAGTATTTTCTCGAGGGGAGGGGAGGATTTTCAAAAAATTTTCAAAATTTTCCGAAAATTTTGTCGATCTTTTGTTTTAGGTCGACCGAATTGATTTTTCGAGCCCTTCCTACAGCACAGTTTTAGTGTTTAGTCCCTATTTTTGCCAAATTTTCTGCGCCGCAGGTAAAATTTTGAAATTACAGTCCAAAAAAGGCGTTTTTAGGAACTTTTTAGAATTTTTGACAAAAAAGTTGTTTTTTTTTCGGCGCGCGCTCTCCCCTCAAAATTAGTATATATTGGCGCCAAAGGCGCATTTTGAAAAATTTTAAGGTCTTTCGGCCCAAACTGAATTTTTTAAAAAGTACCAAAGGGGGGACCCTTTGGGTCGGCAGGGGGTCGAATCCCTAAGGAGAGAGCGTCCGCCCCCCCCCCCCCCCCTCAATCCGCCCCTGATTAGAGTAGTTGTCAATATTTTTTTCGGCCAACGAATTTTAACAAAGCTATTTAAATTAAAACTGCTCATTTTGAATCCTAATTCAGCTTTTAAATCGATTGAGCACGTTAAAAATATATGAAAAATCTACTGTAACATAAAACAAACTTTTTTGACCAATTAAGATAATCGAGGTCATCGATATTGCCAACATTTTGGCACTAATTATATGAAAGCTGAAGTTTTTGTATTGCAAAAGGGAGCAGATAGTTGAAGATCTGGCAGCTAAGATGGCCCATCAAGACATGCAACTGGTTCAACTGAGACATGAGTTGAAGGACCTGAACACAGACATAGCAGAGAACATCACCATGGCCAACAGTGGCAGCCACAGAAACGTGTCAGTGTCCAGCGATGCTGCACTCAGGTCCACTTGGTTAGTGTTCTGCACAGAAATCAGTGCCGATACATAACAATAGCACATTTGTCCATTTATAGGGACTCATCTTATTTTTTGGGACGCAGCATAATGATAAGTGGGCCCCAAAAATATGGTTGAGTCCCTATAGATGGCTGAGGTCCATGCAGTTAGTGTTCTGCACAGAAATCAAAGATGTTTAACAAAGTTTATCTGTTAGTCAACGTAATATAATTCGCAACAAAAGTCAGTTTGCAAGAAAAAACAACCCCTGGTTGATAGTCTACGTGATTTTCAGCTGGGTCACGTGCAATGGATGTGGTCACGTGATCGAACTGTCGGGTGAGACCCTGGATTTAACTAGCAGAGTGAGTGGGTTGAAAGACATGGTTAAGAGACTGAAGAGGGAGAACCAGGAGTTGTTCCTCCAGAACCAGAACTTCACTGACCAGTTGTCATCTAGCAGGAACCAACTGTTGCAACTCAGTCAGAAGTTGAACACGGCTGGCGAACAGCTGCATACTTTTAAAAGAGGTGAAACTGAACGTGAAACTTTGCTTAAAAAAATTAAGCTAGTTTTCTTAAGAGTTCAACGGATTTCAAAAGAGAAACAAGGATAGCCAGTTGCTTTGCAAGTAGCACAGAACGTTCCGAACAGGCTCTTAAAAAATAACAGTGAGAAGTTTTGTTTAAATTAACTTCATTTTTTTGTGCGTTGAATTAAAGAAAACATTTTAGACATTTCCGATATTCATAGTAGACAAGGCATATTCAAAATCAATTTTCTTTAAAAATGTATTATTAAAAAATCAAAAAAAAAATTAAAAATGTTTGTTCATTCGTTTTTGTAATTTTCTGCAGAAAACTTTTGATTTTTTGAAGTATTTTCTCCCAAAATAGCGCTGAAAAAGTTTTTAGGGCTTGATTTTTTAGGGCTTGAAAAAGAAATTGGAATACAACATACTACTACTCTGCTGCTATCCTTCTATAATAAACCTGTTCGTTGGATTTACTTGCTTGAAATGAAATGGATTTACTTGCTATCAAAACCTTCGAAAAAGTTTTTCTCACTGCAGGCAGAGTTTTTTGAAAAATTGTATCACGACTGAAAGGGTTTTAATATGAAATATCATTCAACCCAGTCCGGTGATTTTTGTGGTACCCAATTTTGCGTGGAAAAAAAAGAAAAAATTAAAACACCCGAATACAAAGTATCTTCCCATTTTCAATGGTTGGAACAAAAAAGGACCAGAAAGTTTTTAAAACAACAAAAATGAGATCATTTTGTGCACATATTTGAAAGAACATTTATTTTCTTTCCCCTCCCACCTTGCTTGTTTTCCTTACCATCCCCCTTGCATAAGCATTAATTTTATGATGTAAATAGGGTTTCTACAAGTCTTATTTTCCTTCCCCTCCCACCTTGCATAAGCATTAATTTTATGATGTAAATAGGGTTTTTACAAGTTTTAGTATGGAGACTAAATATGTTCGTTATGGCCTATTTAGTCTGCATCGCAATTTTCATAACAATCAAACAATGTGAACATGAAGATTACCAGGTGGTGGAATAAGAAAAAAGCCAAATTAAATTCTACCAACTTGGAGCTATTATGGAAAAAAGTTTCTCGACAAAAGCAAAAAAAGAGTGAAAGCAAACTATATAACAGCTGCTGGCTTTTCTTTAAAAGAGCTCGAAATGTATTTCAAAAAAGGAAAAATATGCATTTAAAACTTTCATAAAACACAAAAAAGTGAAGGTACTTTTGAGAATATACTCTTTTCAGAGCTTTTTGCTTTTCTTTATAGAATTTAAATCTTGTTTAAAAAAAATTGAATCAAAAATTTGAAAAAAAATCCAGAGGAAAGTAGACTTTTTATGGTAAAAATGTTCTGTAATTTTTTATTCAGCTAATTTTTTTCAGCTTTACCAAATTTGAAATAACTGAGTTTCTTTTGAGCGTGTGCCAAAAAATTACATAAAAAATATTTATAAAATTGTAAAGCTGCACTAACTATTTAAGGTTTTTACGTAGAAAAAAGAAAAGCTTTATTCAGAGTCAAAATGATCTGTCACCTCCAAATGTTCAAATTTTGACCCATTTTTTCATCAAGATTTTTTCAATAGCGTTCATCTTTTTCAAATGAAACTTTTTTTTAGCGGTGGTGTATTATGACCAACTGCGTGCCTCAAACGAGAAGCTCTGTTCTAAGCTGTCAATCATCACTGGAGAACAGGTGTCTAGGAGCAGCAGAAGGTTCTCGTTTTCCGGGTGAGTACCCCCAGATAATTGTTATCGGATTCTGTTAAGTATTCACCCAGTTATGAAACGCATTGAGTTTGTGTTGCCAGATTTTTTGAAGTTTTTGGCCTGTTTTTTAAAAATTTTGCCTGAGGTGCAAAAAAATTTCCAAAAATTCGTCTTTTTAGTGCTTTGGGAGAGCTCAGAATATCAATTTAGTCAGCCTAAAAAAAAGACAAAAATTTCAACATTTTTTGTAAAATCCCCACCCTCCTTCCCCCCCCCCCCTCTCAAAAATCCTAGATCCAGCCTTGTTTCTGATAGTATAAAAATTCTGTCAAAATAAATTTAAAAAGTCAAAATTGCTTTAAATAATAAACGTAACCAATTACAACTATTTTGTCGTTTCCTTCAAATTTTAGAACAACAAGTAACGAAATATTTGCCCGCGCATAATCATCAATACCAAATGATGAGTTTGGGTCTAGTAACGCAAAATTTGATGATTTTTTACTGCCTCGTTTCAATTTGGAATGATTTCCGACCAGGATGATGCCAAGAAATACGCTACTCGTTTATAAAAATTCGGAAATTTAGCGCCAATTAATTATCCGAAATCAGTTTATCATTAATTATCCGAAATTGCTATCATTAATTCTATCATTAATTATCCAAAATTGGAACACCATCATCAAACCCCCATAACTATACGCGAATTTATTGCAGAAAAATATCTTTTAGTTTTGAGCTCAAGGCTCAAATATTTTTCAGTCAATTAGAAAAAACGTCAAAATTGTTTTTTAGGATGTCGAATTATATTTGGACAAAAAAGCACCCGAGCACAAATACTCTGTCATTTTCTACAAAAGTTGGAACAAACAAGATCAAAGAGGAGATTTAGTGAAGCGGTTAAATCTCGCCTCTCAGTTGAAACCTCTGATGGTTGAGTCACACCAATGTTTGGTGCTCGTTTTTCGAGGAGGCAACCTTAATCGGTAAAAACAAATTGGATAAAAGGATAGCCGGTTACTGTTCAAGTAGCACAGAATGTTCCGACCATAGTCTGAAACAATACAACAAAGTTTTTTCAAATTATTGTCGGTGCGGTGTAATAAAAGAAGCTGGTGTAATAAAAGGTGCGGTGTAATAAAACAAGCTGAAAAAAAATTATGGTAGTAAAATATAGTAAAATAAGCAAATTGAAGAACATTTTTTGTAGAAAAATGACTAGAAACACAAAAAATCAAAAACAAAATTCTTTTTTTTTTCAATTTTGCAGTTTATTGAATTTTTGAAAATTTTTGAGAATTTTGAGTGAAATCATGATACTCATAAAAAACTACGTTTTCACGTTTTAAGTTAAGCTATTGCAAGCTTTTAAGCAATTAAATCAAGACTGCTCGCTCGCTTTATTCGCTCGAAATATGACAAAAAAATCAAAAAATTTTCAACCGGTTTTTCTCAACACTGGGAAAAAAATTTTCTAAATTATTTAATACGGTTCGGGCTTAAGGGCTTTCATATGATATATCACTCAATCAAGTCAGATGATTATTTGTGTTGCCTGATTTTGCGAGGAAAACAAAAAGAATACAAGACTGCTCGTATCAGGGCAAAGCCCTGAATGTTTCTACTGCCTTTTAAGGTTTATGGATCAGTAGTAACATAAAAAAATTTAAATAAAATGATATAAAACGATTTTTTTATTTGAGTTTTTTTTTAAATCATCCCCCTAACGCCATATAAAGTACAAAAGCATAGGTTTCGCTCCTTGTAAAATATCAATTATGGCAAATAAGCTTCTTTCAACCAATTTCTATTGATTTCTAAGACGGATTAAATCTCTCGATTTCTAAAACTGATTAAATAGCGAGAAATATATCGCCCGTTATTTGTACCAAATTGGCTAAAATGACAATCTTGAAACCCCGATAATTTTACGAAAAATGATCTCAGGTGAAATATCTTGTCAAATAATGATCGAAATAAATTCCGTCAAAAATGGCTTGCTAAAAAGTCGAAACTTTTGTGAGGAAAAAACCCACCCGAGCACAAATATTCCGTTACTTTCGTTACGAAAGTCGGAACAAAAAATTAAAACACACCCGGATACAAAGTTCTTCCCCATTTTCAATGGTCGGAACAATAGTTCTTAATTAGATTCTGAATAGTTCGTTTACTTACAGATCGTCTCTTTTCTTCTTAAATAAAATCTTTAATTATATCTGTTATTTTTCAGAATGCCAATTTCACGCATATTGCACTTCACCGGAAAAAAGGATTCATGATTCTATTATGACAAAAATTTTATTGAATTTTTTTTTATCACAAAACTTACAAAAAAAACATGATTCTCTTATCTCAAAATTTTGAGGTTTTGTCTGTGTGTTAGTGCAAAGAGAATAGACTGATTTTATAAAAATTTTTGAAATAACATTTTTTGTTTCTTTTTTGATAGTTGTATTTTTCATGTTTTTTTTTTAGATCTCGGTTTTGTTGGCACTGATTCGATTGCAGAGGAATTTTAAGGCAGATTGAAAATAAAATTAATTGTCTCAGTAAATTGCCCGAAAAAAAACGCCAATTTGGGCGGTTAACGAATTAAGTTGTTGATGGGATTTTTGGGAGGTTTCTCATAGCATGAAATCAGGGTTCTGAAAAAGACAAGATTCTGAAAAAATTATGTTTTAAACGTTTATAAACATAAAAATCGTTTGTCAAAAACATGTCGAAAACTCAAAATCTCAATTTGATATCATAAGCACAAAAATCTAAAACATATCTAAAATCTAAAACTCTAAACTGAAAATCACTGCAAAAGTCTGAGACAAAATGCCAATTTGTTGGCTTTTTCGATTGAGAGGCGGTTGCGTGCCATTCGTATCTGAAAAAGACAAACGTTAAATTTCAGCTATGTTTAAAACGTGTTTAAAACATGTTTAAAACGTGTTTAAAACAACCTTTGTTTTAAACATGCGAACCCTGCCTGAAATGTTACTGAAGTCGGAAACTTTCTGTGGATTTAAATCGTTTTTAATGGGAGACAGATAACTTTTGGTAGCAATATTTCTGGTGTTTTCAGCAACCCATCAATGCCGTAAATATTTGCACTTCCATTAGAAACTTGAAATTCTGCAATTTTTCAGTTCTGAAAGTCTCAAATCTGTGATCTCGTTTTTATAAATCTCAGTTTCTTGCTTAAAGTTAAATTGAAAAACTGATTCAAGCAGCACCTATTTCACATTTATTATCAAAAGCTTTAAATTCTTCGCGTACAATGGATCTTTTTTAGGACTCCTGGAAATTGTGACGAGTTGTTCTTGATGCAGAGCCCCTCCGATAACCCGCACAATACTTCCCAGCAGGTCAAACCGCAGACAGTCGGCTACCAACCCGCGGTTCATATCAAACCCCAGCCTCCGAGGTAAAATAGTTTACGCTATGTCACATCTCGCTTAAATATCTCGCCAGATTAGCCAGTTCCTATGCAATTATCAAAAAATGTTGCAACCTCATTGACCATTAAAAAACGATTTAAACAAAAGACTAATTTGAATCACTTTGGAACAAAAAGACTACTACAAAGGATTGAAATTAAGCTTTTCCCTTAAATTATTTCACTTATAACTACTTCTCATTCATTTCATCCATACACACAAGAGGATATTAGTTTGAAAGGTAAAATAGTTATTCAACTTGTTTTTCTGGACATTGAGAATTTTTTTTTCGAATTTTTTTTTTGAGTGTATGGTAAAACAACCGATCACTTATGCGCTAGCATGGTTGTCTCTTGAATCAAGAAAAACGCGAATCGTGGTCTCAGTTTCTTCCCACTCGAAGTAACAACGAACGATTATTTTAAATTTTGCAATGTACCTTATTAAGTAATACTTCAAATAAAAAAAATTTTCAAACTTTTGTTTTATATAGTAACCATAATTTCGTTTCAGGTCACAATCACTCAACAGATTAGAAGAGTATAAAATGTACCCAAATAACCCACCTGTGAGTGATGCTCAACAAATGATCAACCAACAACAACAGCAACAGCAGCAACAACAACAAAAGCAGCAGCAGGAACAACAAATACACCAAGCCCAAAAAATTCGGCCGAATACTCCGAGTTCGAATTCACTGAATCAAAATTCAAACAAAGTTTCTATTGGAAACCAGCCTGGAAGACGACCCACTGAAAACGTGAACAGGCCAAGTAAACATTGATTTATAAATTTAACCACTTCTTTAAGAAAAACTCATAGATTGAAAAAAACGTAGTTTAGTATAGCGTAGATAAAAAACCTAAGAAAAACGTTGAATACGATTCTAGCCGGCAAAATTTCACATGTCTGTAACCAGGGACTTGAATATAAAGCAATAAATTGATCCAAAATTTTTAAATGCTCGCGATAAGTTTTGGAAACACATTTTCACAGAGCCAGCCAATGAGGTTAACTAGCTTTGATATCTGACCTTCAAAAAACGACGGAACCTTTACCAGAAAAATTTTGTACTTTTTTAGAATGTTTGACGGAGTTTGTATAAAAAATGTTTATAAAGTTATAAGCAAAAAATAAAGCAATTTTTCACCAACAAAAACACCGGGATTTTGGAATTTGATAAACCAACCACTATCCAATAGTTAAAACGCGAAAAACTTTTCTGCTTTTCTTCTGAGTTTGGACGTTTTGTCAACTAAACTAAATCAAAGATCGTTGTTCAGATCGCCTGCCTTTGTTTTTTCATCTTTTTTATAGCAAATTTTGCAACGTTATTTTGAAAAATCATAGTTGAATCGTTAATTCAAAAACAATTATAAAAAAACTGAATTAACTTATATTTTAGATATCATGCTCAAGGAGTTTCAAGTTGTGTGGTTAAGCAAGATTATGACAGTTTTTTGTGCGGGCGAAGCCCTGAGACTCTCGACGGATCTTCATTATTGTTGAAACAGTTTTTGAAAACATCAAAGAAATAAAAGAAACCAAATATTTTTTACCTAAAAGTTTTCACGCTCTTTCACGAAAAAATGAAGTTCTTAGCGTTTAAAACCTTATTAGTTACAACGAATTCATTGCTTCCTTTCAATTTGGAACAATTTATGAGTAGATTAAATAGCCGCTTGCTCGTTAATAGCACGAAATCTCTCTCGCGTCATTTGTCTCAAGTTAGCCAAATCAGATGACAATAAAATTTTTGTTCAAAACGGCTAGTTATAAACTTATAATTGTTCTAAAGAAAAAACCTTCGAGCACAAATATTACGTCATGTTGTTCGAAAATTGGAATAACAACTCAAAAAATTGCGACTGATTGTTCCTTTATTAGCAAGGTAGTCGATTTCTCTAAGACTTTATATTTGAGGATTGTTTTTTTGCTATTTTTTGCTCTGGGGAGAAAATTTTCTCCTAGTGAGTATTCTATATGTTTTTTTCATTCTGAAATTTTCTATTTTTTTTGTTAATCAATTTTTTGAAAGCAACTATTATCGATTATGTCTCTTTAACTAAGGCTCTACGTCTTCTTACAGTTTTCTCATCTCATCACGCACAAAAAACCGCCCAAATTAATTTTTTTTCAAGAATATGGTCGGAACATTCTGCGCTATTTGCACAGCAACCAGTTGTCCTTCTTTTAGTTTGTTTTTTCAATAAACATTTTTCAATTTTTTTACATCATAATTTGCTCAATGTTTAAGGTTTAGACAATCAGCAAACAGCTGTTAGCCAATCAAATACAAGAAGTAGTAGCCAAGAAAACCCCAGTAACCTTGACCCTTCGCAAGCAAATAAACCCATGTCGAAGTCGTCGACCAGAATCCCCTCACCGATTCCGGGAAGGAGGTCACCCCAGCATAAACCCACGGCCCAGCGACCCAACATGGGCAACAATGTTAATTCCAACGCTAGTAATGGGGGAACGCCAAACAGAGGCGTAACACCGAGTTAGTTTCTGTTTTTTTTTTTCTAATTTATTAATCTCTTCAGTAAAATAACACCCACCAAACAGGTATATCAAGCTTTTGAACCAATTTTTGTTTCAGCAGTTTGATCTAGTGGTAAGATACTGAATCTAAAAAAGCTCATACTAGCATTCAGAGACTTAAGTTTATGCTTGACTAAGTTGGTCAGCTTGTACCTTTTGATTGGTTTGTTACGGTAAGTTTTCAAGTTAGCGGGATATGAAATTATTAACTCAATTTAAAAAAACAAGGTCCAAATATCCAAAAACGCAAAAAGTTTTAACAATTATTTAAAATCACAACACTGGAAAAAATCAGCTCTTGATGTAGTGGACTATAGAACAACGACTCATAAGACCGGTTATCATCACGCGCCTGCAAACTGATAGATTTATAGAGTGGCCGATCTAAGATTTTCTCGAGGGAGCGGATTTTCAAATAATAAATTAAATTCATTCTTATATTTTCAAACCATTTCAGATGAAGACAACCAGAGTGTTTCGGGAAGCGAGGCGTCGCAGGAGAGCTCGACAAGTCCCCTCAAGGGAACCTCTGTCAGAGTCAGACCCCCCTCGCCTGTCTCGTCACTCGTCAGGTAAACTTGCCAGCAAGAGTTAATTTTTCACAGACCAATACGGACTAACTTTGAGAGTAATATTTTCAAAAACGGCATTTCGGCAAGTTTTATTTGAAAAAGCGCTCTCAACGCAGCAATTTTTATGACCAACAATCCTATAATTATATTAAAGTTGGTTCCTTTATTAGTTTTTTTAATTAAAAAGTCCTTTAACAAACAATTTGCTTAATTTAGGCAAAAAGCGAAACAGCTGCTTCTACAAACAAAGCAAAATGATCATTTTCGATAGTTATGAAATAAAAAATACCTTTCAGATTTAAGGCAATACTTTCATTGATTTAAGGTTGCGGGCTAACCAAAATTTTCGAGGTTCAGCTGAGTCGGTTGAGAGCTCAGTTTCCGAAGCAACCAGCACTGGGAGCAGTGTAGCGCCTCGAATATCTGGAAAACAACCATTAACTCCTCGACAGATTGGCGGAGGGTCCAAGTCCGCTTCCGCACTTGCTCGCAGAATGATGTCGGATCCTAACCAACATCGCAAGGGTCCCATGAACTCCAATGAGCCGATGAGTTTGCGCGAGAACCAGGTTCGAGGAGCAGCACCAGGAGCTTCGACACGGGGTCCGAAATCCGAGATGGCCGGGGATCGAAACTTGAAGAAGCCGATGGTAGCTCATGGTTCCTGGGACGATTTGTCAACGGATGATACCCATAAAGATATATCAGGCGCCAGTGATTTGCCAGAAGATCAGAGAGATAAAGGTGAAAACACTTCGAGTGACACTGAAGATTCGCCTTCTAGCTCACCCAATATAAGCTTATCAGCTATGCAACACAGAAACGCATTGGCAAAAAGTAACCCGAACAACCAAAATAGACCTGAGCCGAATAGCAATCGACAACAAAATGACAACAAAGACCAAAGTCAAGCTGGTTATAATAACTCGCGAGTGATGGTGGGCAGCCGACCTGCCGCAAAGCAGAAAGATCGAATAATGATGGAACAAGCTAATAAACTTTCGGTACGCGCAACCGAAAATGTTCCAGCATCTATGGTACGAAGCCGGACGCCTAATTTGACACAACAGCAACGAATGGCTTCGGCAGCTGACAATCCGAACCCAACTAATGAAGCTCAGGGAAGCCAGAATCAGCCAATTAGGCGCGAAAGGAGGTCGGTTAACAGCACAAGCGAACCTGAAAAAGTTTCACCAAACACAACAACAGAGTCTAGACATGGAAGGCAGTCTACAAAAGTTTTCGATCCGAATAACCCCACTGCAAGGCCTGTTTTACGAGGTCAAGATAGTCCGGATGGTGCGACAGGTCAAAATTTCATGTCGGCTGCAAAAAGGTCAATATCGTCTTCACCGCAACAAAGAATGCGACAACCTCTAATAGGTCAACAACGACAAGCTATGATGGCGAAGACTACTGTTTACACTCCTGGAGGTCAAAATGTCAGCAATGACGCGTCAATAGAACAACATCAACCAGCACGGCTTAGAAGTCAATCTGCCGAAGCGGTCAATGTACCGAACCCTCAAGGTCGTTCGTCGAGACCATCGCCATCAATCAGTGCATTACAGAATATCAAACGACAATACGCGTCGGCCGAGGGACCTCTGACGTCATCGCCAAAGCCGGCGAGATCGACCAAGACACAAGACATGGTGCAGTCATCTTCGGATCTCCTCGGGAGCAATGCGGACGAGATCATGAGTTCGAATGATTTGGCGAAGAAGCCGTGGTCCCTGGATGAGATTGACACTGCGATTGACAGACTGTTGCAGGAAGACACAGCGAAGTTGATGACAGAAGCGGAAGTTACGAATGCCATTGACAAGGTTTGATCATGCGTTTTCTAAAGAACAGATCCTTCAGCTGGAAGTTTAGCTTCATTATGAATGCGTTTTGATATTGATAAAAATTGAAACCAGGTTCAAAACATGTAAATTTGAAAATAAGTTTCTATTTTGAGGGGCAATGAAAGCATGAAAAAACAATTTCTAGTTTTTTTCTCGTGTGATTTTTGAAGTAAGCCGAAATGGGCTCAAAAAATGAGTTCAACTTTAAAATTATCAGGAATTGGAAGCTATTTCGCATGCCAAGCTACAGGAATCCACTTCAACCCGCGAATCATCAAGCAGACAATCACAGGCGTCCTCGGAATCACATCAGCCTTCCAATCAGAACCCAACATCAAGACAGAGTCCCAGGAACCCACAAATGGGATCCTCAGGGTCGGCAGCTGTCGCCAGAAGAGCTGCAACTCCTCAAGGTACTCGGGTTCCTCGCCCTTCGTCTCCGTCGATTGCGAGAATCAAACAGGCACAGCAGCAGATCATGTCACAGATGTCAGCCGGACAACAAGCATCTGGTGGCCAACAACAACAGACAACTACCACTCAGCAAAGGTGCGTTTCACATGTCAGTGCTCGAGCAAACAAGAATAGTCGAGACAGGGGTTCGGGTCTTGTAGCAGTTTCCTTAAATGCCCGGAGAGAGATGACTCATTAGCCAAGAGCAACCGCATCTGTAACGTTTTCTGTTGCTCAATTGGTTTGCTACATAACCCTTAAAAACAAAGGTTTAAGTGGTTTTTATGTTTTATGAAATTGGCCACAAAATCAGCGCCATCAAAAACTTCGAAATATGTTGCTGCTGTTATGGATTCTGTGACAGTTCGCACGCCCAAAACTACGGAATCGGCAAAATCCGAAATTGCACAACTAGGCCTCTTTATATGGATATTGTGAAATTTTTGGCAATCAAAATAATAGTTTTTAATCGAAAAATTTTCATGATCATTGAAGATAACGACTTCCTCAAATCAGATTTAAAAAGATAATTTTCCTGCAATCAATTTTTGCCAAGTTTTGAGAGTTTGAAAATTGCCAATTTGGCCATGCTCTGAACTAATTTATGTGCACTTTGAAGACATTATCAATAATCCTGAAACCTAACGCGAATTATTTATGCGTGGCGAAAAATAGTTCCAAATTGAATAAAGGCTAACTAATCGGTCGTGCTAATTTCGTACGGCTCGTGTTAATTGGTAATTTTGTTATCGGTCGTGTTAAAATTTTCATGCTCGCATCGTTGATTTTGTTCCAAACTTCTAGTTTTTCTATATTTTTTCCCAAAAAATATTCGATATAGTTTAGGGGGCAGTCATGACCGTCAGGGTTTCGCCCTGATATACAAGAGGTCTCGTTCTACTTCAAATTCGCTCTAAATTTTGTTTCTCGTTCACTCAAAAATATACTGTTATTCTAATGCCCCTATAAAATCAGTGATCAAACTTAAGTATAGTGATTGAAAATTTGAAACTTTCTGCAAAGTTTTGTAGTTTCTGACTCTCAAAAAAGAAACGGAAACTAATTCTCGCTCGTTTTTTTTCTTCACAAAACTTTCCAACTTTTAATTAATAAACTTGACGGAAATTTTCCATACTTTCTGAAAGGTAAAGTACTCAAGTGAAGAAAAGTTTAATTGCCAATCGGTTTTCATAGTTTGCTAACAAATAGCGACATCTTAGTTTGTTTTGTTGATGTCTGTGTGGTTAGGTGAGATATTCTATGACTGTTTTTTAAAGGTATCCTGGGTTGACTTCGGTGCAGAAATACTAATTTTTCAAATCCAGAAATAAACATACGTATAAAACAATTTCATAAATGTCTATCAAAAAATGAGTTTGCATGAAACTAAAGAAAGATTATGGGTCTTTTGAACAACAATTTTCCGTAGGTTGTATTTGGACTGTCAATAATGTAACTCAACTGATGATTTTGAAATAATTTTAAAAAGTTTAAGCTAGCAATACTTCATATTAACGTTATAGCATTTACAATTCCTCATCAACAAATTTCGAATGCATTTATTTTGCGAGATATTTGAAATGCAGAAATTATAAACAATTTAAATTTCAATTTATTACATGCAAAATTAATCTATTTTAGGGAGCTGTGTGTTTTAGCTGTACAAAATTAGTTTTAATTTAGAGAATAATGCTAGTCTTGACATTTTCACGCGTGAAACAATTTGGAAAGTTTTTAATTTTTAATTCAATAAAGACTGTGTAGTGAGTGACTGTAGGTGGTTTTAAAATATGAGATCAATTTTCATTCAATGTCATTGAATATCATATAAATAGAGCAAATTGAGTTTTCCTGAGATGGAGCATATAGGATTATAAGCTTGCGGGTTTATTTTGAGAAATTAATTTTGGAGATTTTTGGTGGTATCACAGAAAACTTATAAGGGGTCAATCAAATGCGGCATTTTAATATAATTATCAAATAAATTCTTTTTCAAAATGTTTCGTTTTTCAGACTAAACTAGTTGAAGTCTAACAAGTTGAAATCACAAGTTGAAATCTAATCGTATTCATTTTTGTCTTTTGGCATAATTCTGCTATTATTTTTTGAATAATTGACTATAATGCTGACTATAAATCAGACAGATCAAAGCCAATGCAAAGCCAATTTTTGTGTGCAGATTTCTTAAAAATATTTGTAACAAAAAATATCAGCGTTTCAATTAACAATTTATTGAAAATGTTTATTACGAGAGCAATTGGTGTACCAATTTTTTTAAAATTGAGTTCTGCATGATTTTTATGCAAGTCGATACACTTGTCGTTTAGAAAGTTGTAGGCTATTGAAGTTTTGAGTTAGTCAACACACCACCGCCTACACCTTGTGTCTGCAAATAATCCCCAGTGACAGTTAATCGAGATGCTTGCCATAAGTTGATAAATAATTCGAAATATAACAAGACTGCTCGTATCAGGGCAAAGCCCTGAATGTTCCGACTGCCTTTTCAGGTTTATCGAGCAGTAGTAACATAAAAAAATTAAATATAAGAAAAAAATGAAAAATTTTTTTTTCTAAAATTTGAAATTTTTTTATGAAATCATCCACCCACACGCCGTATGAAGTTTATAAGAATAGATTTCGCTCATTGTAACAAAACAATTATGGCAAATAAGCTTCTTTCAACCAATTTGGAACGATTTCAAAACTGATTAAATCTCCGCTTACGCGTTAATAGCGCGAAATATATCGCGCGTTAATTGTCCCAATTTAGCCAAAATGGCAATCTTTAAACCCCCATAACTTTACAAAAAATGATCACAGGTGAAATATCTTTTCAAAATTAAGTTCAGGACAACAATATCTTTTGAATGATATAAAAAAATTCCGTCAAAAATAGCTAGTTAAAAAGTCGAAATTTGTCTGAAGAAAAAAAAACCCACCCGAGCACAAATATTCCGTCACTTTCATATCGAAAGTCGGAACAAAAATTCGAATTCTGAATTGCTTTGAGACGAGTTGTCGTTTTTGCAAAAGTGGCAGATTGTTGCTTGCAACCAGTTTCGACCTCTGACAATTTATTGCCATGCATTTATCAAGAAAATTATGACGATGACGAGGTTGAAAGGAAAAGTGCCAGAAATGGTTTTTAAACTGATTAAGTAGTTTTTTTGTTTGATTTATCAATTGCGGGTTTAGGTCAAAATCTTAGGTCAAAATTTGCGGATTTAGGTCAAAAAGGGCCAATTTGGTCCAAATAAGGTCTTCATGAGGATTTGAGGGAGCTCATAAAATCAATTAGGTGAAACTAAAAAAATTTAAGCAGAAAAGTCACCACGAAAGTTGACAAAGTTCTCGATCCGCACCTGTGATCTATTGTTTTAAGCCTTTATACTAGCATCAACTTAGTGTATTATTCAGAATCTTCTTTTTTCTAACACAAGTCGCAAACTTTGGTGCCATTTTTGGGGCACCTTCACAGCTTTTTGATAGCATGTGCTTTGACAATTGAATAGTAATAAGTTTAATCAGTTGTTGCATTTTTAATTCAACAAATGAACCGAAAGAAGTTTTTTGTTCAAACAGTATAACAATCATAAAAACTCGATTTCAGAAATTTTTTACTCAATATATCTCGCCATTTTTTGATATACATAATTTATACATAATGTGGCTTTATGTTTTGCAATTTGTTACCTGCCAAGTTAAAGTGGATGCTTTAGTTAGATATATTCCAAAATATTACATGCAAAATTGTGTCTATTTGTATTTGATGCCACTTTTGCTGAATGGCATTGGCAGTTTATAAGCATATGTAGCTGCTTTATTCGTGACTAGTGTTTGGTGGTAGTTAAGTTTGCGTGGCTGGGCGATGAGTGCGTCAGACTCAAGATCTTTTGATTTCAGTAGGTCGCAGATCGAATCCTAGACCTAACCGAATTTTGCTAACTCGAGACCTATTTCTATTTTTCTTATAGAGCTTTCTAGAGCTGCTTTTTTGTCGTGTTCTCGCTAGTGTTTGCGAAGCGAAGCTTCGCCTCTGTGTTAAAATTTGGTGAGCTGACAAGCCAACAACATGATTTTTTTTTTTAAAGTTTTATCAATATTGCTCTTTTCATGATAATATGCCACACATAATGCAATTAGAGATTAGTATGTTATGTGAAGCTTAACCAAACAATTTTCACCAATTTCAATCAGCTTCAGTAACACTGAAATAACTAAAAAAAATCTATTTTTCAGTTATCAAGTACCAATTTAATCTTAAATAGGACATTTTTTGTCAAACTTTTTGATTTTGTCAGTTTTGATAATTATATGATGAACAAAAACGAGATTGCTTTTTATTTTTTCTTTATACACTTATTCGAAAAATATGTTTCAGAACTGCGCCTCATGGAATGCCTCGACGACAACCCCCAACTCCCGGAGATCAAGTTCAACCACCCCCTTCTGGTGCTCAAACAAATACGACCAACCAGATGAGTCAACATTACAGCCAGCTGCCACAACAACAACAACAACATTATCAACAACAACAACAACAGCAGTCCAGTCGAACTGGAGCATCGCCCAGAAATAGAGTGCACTACTTGTAGATATCTGCAACTGACAGACGGATGCTTCAGAAATAAAAGAGCTTTAGAAAAAAAATTTAGAAACTCTTTTAGGTTATATAGTATCGAGAAAACATTTTTGAGGATTCAAATCTTCCGGTTTCGATGCCAATGTAATTGTTTCCGGTCACCATTATTGAACAAAAATTTATTTCAAACGGTCCATGATTTAATTGAATGGGGAAAAACTGAAAAAATAACTGAAGATTTGTTTAATAATGAGTTCTTTGTGGGTTGTCGTTAGTGGTTAGTAGCAAAAATATGCCACGCTTAAGTTTCAGGTGACCGATAAATTTCAGTTGAGGTGACAAGTTTTCATTGAATACAGGTTTTTAATCGGTGACCGCGAAAACCTGAAAATTATATTGTCCTGAATGAAATTTAGAATGAAATTTATTTTTGCTTGTACGCATTTTTCATGTATAACCATTGATTGATAAAAACACGTGAGCGTGCGTTTTAAATAAGACGTTCAGTACAATACAAAATTATACACGTACCATCTTGGTATTATAAACAACGCAGATATATTACCAAATAAAAATGCATTACGCATATGATAAAGTCAGATGAATTCTGAAAAAAAACATCAGAAAATTACAAATTTTAGTTCCAAAAGTTGGTTGAAAAAATAAGTAAAACATTTAATTTACAAATCATTTGTCGACGACGTCAAACTTTATCATCATATATTCAGACCGACCTCTATAAAGGTCTTCAGGTTCATTTAAACTACCCCTGGAAACGAACTCGAATGGTAATGATTCATAATGAGTTTTGGCAATCGAAATAGGAGTTATATGTCAACGGGTGGGAGGTCGTCCTCGAACTTCGGAAGTGGCGCTGCTCACCGTGGCGTCGGAGTGCGAGCGGGTGGCTCCTCCGCCTCCGTCTCGTCTGCTTCTACCAGTGGGGGAAGCAGTCTGGCTATGGTTTCCGTGGCACTTCAAGACCACATTATGCGAAATATGTCATCGGAATTCAATCTGTCATCATTCAATCACAGGTAGAATTATAACAACTTTTGACGCTTTTGAACCTTAAAATAGAACCTTTTTTAATGAAATACTTTCAACTTGTAGACTTTGTTTAATGCATTTTGTTTCTTGCCTCAGATGATTTCAGAAAATCTTAGTAATTACTTTTGAGCACTAGTACTTAATACAAGCATTTAGCTGATACAAAAGGTCCTGCAGGCTTCAAACTCGCAGAAACGCTATATGAACTACAAAAAAACCGTAAAACTTTAAGTTCATCGATCAGTGTTTGTTCAATAAATTTTTTTGGATCTACTTAACAATCTCCACCCCTTTCAAGAAAGGGGGGAGATTGTTAAGTAGGTCAAAATGGTCAATTTTTCAACCAATCAGAATGCAGCAAAATTATAATTCTCAATAGAAAGCTCAGTGCTAATTTACTGTATTTATTTATAGGCGTGAAGATTCTTAAGTAGGTACCATAGGGGGGAGAGATTGTTTAGTAGATCCTTTTTTAACTATTTTCTAATCTGACTTAGACTCAACAGTCAGCCGGTTGAGCAGAAAATCAGAAAGCCGAAAGCCACATCAGTAATTGACACCGGTTTGAAGTCAAAGCAAACCAACAAACACAAACAAACAAAACAAACAAAAGCCGAACAAGAGGAACAAGATCACGTGATCGAAGAAGACGAAGAAAAGGGAATGGCAGCTAAACCCTCGTTAGCCCAAAAACTGGGTATTTTACCAGGTGTTTTGGGCATTGTCAGTGCTGAAGAGAGGAAGTTGAATGAACAACAGTGGCAAAGTGTGAAGAAACAGGCGGGCGAGAGGGGGGATTATTCGTCCCCTTGTGTCATATGCAAGGAGACATTGGGCGCACAGAAACAGGTTATGGTTTTAAATGTTATGAAATGAAGAAAAGTTTTTAAAACCTTTATTCGGCAAAAACAAGAATTTGGTCAATTTAAAAAGGACGTTCATTCCCGTTTTTTTTAAATTTTGTGATGTGAACATTCTACGGATATCCAAAGAATGACTACTAATTATTCGATTTGACAGAACATTTTTTTCACCAATGTCAAAACGTATTAAATAATGATCTTTCTGAGAGCGCGAAAAATATATTGTATTGAATAAAACTTATGTTTCAGCTGATAACTTCATGCTCGCATACTTTTCATCAAACTTGTCTGGAAGCGTTTGAGAGATTCACAGGCAAAAAATGTTGTCCTATGTGTCGAAAGGATCAGTACCAGAAGCGAATCATACACGAGGCTAGCAAAGCTTACAAAAGCCAGTGCGCGACTAAAATCCAGGCCACTTGGAAAGGATTTGTAGTCAGGAAATGGTACAAGAAAATTCGAGAAACTCATCCACCGAAAGATCCGAAACTACGCGAGAAATACTTCATGCAAAAATTCGAAGAAATCACGCAACGAATGCTTTCGATGTACAGTACTGATGTTGACTCGTTTTTACGGGAGATCGACGTTGATTTAAGAAATAGCAGAAAAATAATGGATAATTTTAACGAGCAGAAAATGTTAGAAAACCATCAGTTAAATTTAAGCCAGGATTTTTGGGACGATGTTTGCGGAAAAGCTTTTTCAAGAATAGACGAAACTTCCGAATGTCCAATTTGTATGTTTCAACTTGTGGCCAACAAAACTTTGACTGTTTGTTCATGCACGCATGTTTTTCACGCACAGTGTCTAAAAACTTTCGAAGAATTATCGCTGAACGAGCAATTTTCATGTCCCGTTTGCAGATCTTCGTACTATTCAATTGACAAATAATTTCATTATTTCAGAGGATATATAGTTTTGAACAATCGAATTAAATTTTTTAATATGTTTTAACCGAGTTCTTAGACTACTTGTAAAGAACAAGTGAAGTTCTCTCAACAGAATTTAAACCAATTTTTATGCTCTTAGTTTAATTGTTCCGACTTTCGAAGAAAACGGAATATTTATGCTCGGTGTGGTTTTTTTTATTTAGTCAATTTTCGTCGATCGAAATAATAGTTTTCAACAAAAACTTTTTATACCCAATTGAAGCTATTGACTTCTTGAGCTCAAATTTAAAAAAATATTTTACCTCCGATTATTTTTTGTTCTGGGGAATTGAAATTTGCCAAATTGGCCATGTCCTGTTTACTAAGCGCTCATTGCTGGTTGAATGCTTAGTAATTTTATGCTAAGTTATAAGTCTCACCTTAGATCGTCAAGTTGTCTTGACAAAAGTTAGAGAAAAACAATAGTTAGAAAAGGTATGAATTAATTAGTTGGTTAAATACAAAGCACTGGGTTATTGGATTATATAAACGAATCGAACAGCTTAGAGAAATATACCTGAGGGGAGGTTGAGCTAATCTTATTTTGTTCATCAATATTTTATCTTCTTACTAAGGTCGATGGCTGATTAATATGTATGGGTCGCCCTTGATTGTGTCCACTTCGGCACTTCTGTTTTGGTCGTCAGCATCGTCTTTGCCGTAGTCCTTTGGGTACTTGTAGTCCAGACTTCCTCAAGTATGAGTATCTCGATTTATAATTTTATCGAACTTTAAATGAGAATTTATTCTCTATTTTATTTGTGAAAAAGGCTAGTTTAGTTTTATTGTAAAGGCAGAAATAAAGAAAAATTTATTTTGAAAAGATCTGACTGAAGAGATCTGATTTGCTGCTTACTGAGCAAAATGAAACACTGAAGATTTCAGGCCAGTCCTTTTGCTCGTAAGCATAAACCGGCGGCTGATTCAATCTTTCATTGTTCAGGTTTCACCTGCTCCTTTATTCTTCCTTTCTTATAAGGGAATTTTCAACTAGTTTTTATTTGATTTTTTCAAATCAAATATTTTTAAATTATTAGTCCTCTTTGATTAAAACCGCAACTTTCAGTTTTATCTGATTAAAAATTCATATTACTCTCTCTGATGCATCATATTGCAGGTGCATCTCTGCTTAATCAAAGCAAGGAGAATTTCAGTGCAGCCGGCAAGACTGCTAAATATTTATCAATTTGTTTTCAAGTCAAAGTTAAAAGGGACGTGTTAATAATTGCCGCCCTTTTAAAATAGTGAGCATTAAAAAATGAGAAAAATTGGACAAGTAATTAAAAAGGAGTGGATTTTCAAAACAAGATTTTATAGTCCTAATAAGAGTAAATCAGTCAATATCTGATTTAGTGAAAAGAGGCTTTAATTTAAATGGCACGCTCCAATTTAGAATTGGGTCGTTAAATAAACAATTAAGACAATGGTCTTTTGTCTGTGTAGTATTTTAAATACTACAACTCACCCCTTTTTTAGAAAATTAAGCTGTTCGATTCTTACAGTTACCATGGTGAAAATTTAAACACATTAATGATTAAATACTATAGTTTTAACATTTAAAAAGAACATCAAATGAAAAAAGTATGTAGATAGGTTAGGTTAATGGACTCAAATTTATATAAGGCTTTTGTTCTCAAAAGCTCTAAATTTCTTCTAGAGCTTCCTTCCGGCTTCTAGCTCCACATTGTACGATCTGAGGATCGCTATTTTCCTCTGTGAAGCCTCGAGTTTCTGTTGCAACTTGACGATTTTCTTTTTTTTTATTTTGTTCTTGATTCGCAGTCTGCTCATCCCGTCCGTAAGCTCTTGAATATCGTCTTGTTCCTGTTTAGCTTTTACATAGTTCGGGAAGGCAGTTACTCCCTCAAACGGGATGGTGACTTGTGTTCCTCCTGCCTTCAGGATGTAGCCGTGTTCCTCTCTCTTCTTTAACTTCCAGAAGTTGGTTTCGTTCTTTATAACCACTTCTTGTTGGGTTATGAAATCGACAGGCATCATCGCCTTTTCCATTGTCATTGAGTTGACGAATTCAATAAACGATGGCAGTTTCCATCTGTTATGATTTTGCTTAACTGAATACTTCAATTTCGTTAAGAATCTAAGGTTTTCAGTATCCAATTTTACCTCTCTGCTGTTCTGCAGTTCCAATCTTTGATTTAGACTGGGGAAATTTCGAGGGTTTTTATTTAACCCGTCGTCCATTGACAAAGATTGTACTGCTACAGATTTTCGTTGCTTCTTTCTGAGAGGCAATTTTCTTTTAAACTCCTCTGGTGCTGGATCAGCATTTCGGCAGTTCCAATTCAAAATTGGGTCATATTCCATTTTGCTAAACATCAATGTAAAATAAGTAAATATTCAAAATCCTGAATTACAACCGGATACTAAGGCTTATTATCAAATTTGAATAATTAAGGACATTTAAAAAAGTGTAAAATTGTATATATAAAGGATGGAAAATATAATTTTGTGGTTTCACACAAACCCACCACGGAAAACAAATGAAGAAAGACGATCATGGTGTTTATTAACCACAGGAAAAAAGCACTTTACAACACTGAGTTAAGCTCAGATATTAAACTTATGTAGTTAAAGCAAAAATGGAAATTTGGGCAATAATTAACCCCTAATCTTAAATGTTCGTCCACCTGGGTCATCCACAGGCTTACCATGGGGTCCTTAACAAATTATACAGCTATAAACTTTGGGTTAGGATTTACTAGATGCAAATATTAACGAATAAAAAATTGTAAAAGTTGTAAGGCAGGTATAAACAAAAATAATATTGCATTTGACAGCTTTTTTGTCATAACCAGGAATCTTTGTTTCATTTTCTGATAAAATATGGAAAAGATGTGACTAAGGAATTTTAAAAAATGAAATGTCAAAAGTAAGGAAAGTTGAAGACTAATTACAAACGGTATAATATTCGATAAGATAAGTGTAATAATTCTTCTTCGATTTTAATCCCCTGCACCAATCCATGTTCACATCTTTAGTACAGAAAAGTCGTCCTGAACCTCATGATGCAAAAATTTAACATACACAATCTTAATGATGATGCGGTCCAAATTTCAAAGTGTTGCTTCTGAAAATTTGTTGTATTTAAGGGTATAATCGCCGCCCTTTTAAAATAGTGAGCATGAAAAAATGAGAAAAATTGGACAAGTATTTAAAAAGGAGTGGATTTTCAAAACAAGATTTTATAGTCCTAATAAGAGTAAATCAGTCAATATCTGATTTAGTGAAAAGAGGCTTTAATTTAAATGGCACGCTCCGATTTAGAATTGGGTCGTTAAATAAACAATTAAGACAATGGTCTTTTGTCTGTGTAGTATTTTAAATACTACACCTGAACTAAATTATGCGCGCTTTGAAGAGTTTAATCATAATGCTGAATTATTTATGTGTGGCAAATTATCCCGCGCAACAAAATGTTTCCAAATTGAATTCAGGCTAGCTAATTGGTCGTAGTAAATTTGAACGTTAGTCTATTGTTGGTGGAATCACTAATTTTATATTCTGCTGATAAAACTCATCTTTAAAAAAAGACACGCGTACTCTCTTGGCAATCTTGAGATTTCCGGATCGATACCCATACGCAGTCAACGTTTCTAAAATCGGTCTGAATAAAAAAAAACTCGGGCACATATTCCTCACTTTCCTCGAAAGTTGGAACAAAAACAAGTTCATCAGCTAGGACACATAATTGAGCTAGCAAGCTCGTCTAGGCTGTTATCTTGAGATAAAGAAAACAAACATGAAAGAACAGGAAAAAAACATTCCCTACCTACCAAAATCAGATGTCCCATTTTATCAATTGCTCTTCAACACAGTATTTTAGATCATTTGTAAGCTTTATATTTGAACTATCTTTCGGCTGTTTTTTATTGGTAATGTTTTGCAGCAGGCTAAACTGATAATAATTATGTAAAGAAAATCAAGAATGGCTTCGGCCGTTCATTAAATTTTGAAAGAAAGTTTTATCCAATGCGCTTTGAACACACCAAATTTACGTTGGTAAATTTTTGCTTTAATGATTTTTGTTCCGGCTTTCGAAGAAAGGGAGGAAAATTTATGCTTGTGGTGGTTTTTATATTCAGTCGAACTTAATATATATCTCAAACTTGAACAAGACTGCTCGTATTAGGGCAAAGTTTTGAATGTTTCGACGGCTTTTTAAGGTCTATAGAGCAGTATTATTATAAAAATTAAAACGTAATAAAATAACGTTAAAATCTCCCCCCACACGCCATATTATGTACAAAGTGATAAAATTTGCTCCTACTAACAAATCAATTATGTCATTTTAGCTTCCTTGAACAAATTTGGAACTATTTCTAATACTGATCGCAATTATATCTTGCAATTATTAAAAGCGTGAAAAATTTTACGCGTTAATTATACCAAATTGGCCAAAATGGTAGTTTTTAAACCCCCATAACTTCACAAAAAATGATCACAGGTGAACTATTTTTCAAATTTAAGCTCAGGACAACAATAGCTTTCGAATGATAAAAAAAGTAACGTCAAAATTGGCTAGTTAAAAAGTAAGAATTTGTCTGAAGAAAAACAAAAACCCGAGCACAAATATCTGTTACTTTCGTTACGAAATTCGGAACAAAAATTTATGGGGGCTTAAAAATTGCTAATTTGGCCAATTTGGGATAATTAACACGTGATATATTGTAATACGATGAAGGTGCGGATTAATGCGCTCCATATTGAAGTCAGGCAAGTCATTTTTTCCAATTTTAGGATACAAGACGCTCAATGCACCCCTTTGTAATATGCATTGGCCTGTGGGGTAAAAAATAAGAAAAATATTTTTTTTCCCGATAAATTCGTCATTTGATAAACCGATCCTAAGAAGCAGTCATAACATTAAAAGCTTTGCTCTGATATACGAGTGGTCTTGCTGCTCATAAAGAATTTAGGGCTGTTTACAATTAAAGTCACAATTAATGCTCCATACACTTCAAACTAATTGGCCATGAATCAAACAAAACAAAATTTGAGCAGATTGAAAATCTCGAATTTTAAATAAAATTTCAAAAAAACAAAACTGGTCGCATATTAAGGCAAAGCCCTGAAAGTTTCGACTGCCCCTTAATTTAGATCGAATAGTTTTTGGGAAAAGAAAATATTGAAAAACTATGCACTTTGGGCAAAATCAATGTGTAACATTTTGAGTAGTACGAAACTAATACGACCAATTAGTAAGCCTCAATTCAATTAGGAACGATTTTTTTTTGCGGGATGATTCGCCACGCAAAATATTTCGCGTTACGATCTCAGAATTAAGAATAAACTTTTCAATTTATTTGCATAAACAACGTTTTGCATAATCCACTTACCAGTGTCACCACCACACCTCCATCTCAATAGTTACCAAGTAGAGACAAAATAGATAACTGGCAGTCCCTTGGATAGTTACCAAAAAGATACCACTATAAGCACCAAAATAGTCACCATAGAGACTAAAAGATACCAAAACTTCAGGGTCTTATAAGAAAAACCAAACTGTTCAACACTAAATTTAACAAAAAACTAACCAGTCAACTGTTAAACACAATGATCCCAAAAATTTGTTTAACAAAATCATTTTTCCTAAACATAGAGTCGACAATGTCTGCAGACTTTTGGTCCCTCTTGTGAACTTCTGCTCTTTGTTCAGCTTTCAGGGAGTGCAATTTCTTCTTTTTCGTTTTCAGTTCTTCCGCTGTCTTTTTAACTATTTCTGCAGTTTTTTTCAGGGAATTTTTCAGCAGGTTTGGAGTAGAACGCTTAAAAACTCCGATTTCTTGGCTCAAGCTTTTGTGCGTTTCAACTTGAACAACCAGGTAACAAAACTGGTGATTAAGTTGGTCTAGACAAATCATAAATGTATTCAAGAATTAATGTATTGAAATTGTAAAAAATGGTTTAAGAAAACGAACCTCACTATCTGCTTGAATTTACTTGTTGACCTTCTCTCTTTGCTTTCAGCAATGATTTCATGATTTCAGAAGGGGATCAAACTTTTCGAAATCATCGTTGGAGAAAAAAGATCTTAGATGTCGAAGAGAATCATATGTGGTACTCATTATTTGGTTTTTATACCGATCTTCAACTAGCTTCATCTCGGAAAACCCCCTCTCAACTGACATATTTTGAAAATTGATAAGTAGAAAATTTCAATAAGTTGGTAAAGAGAACTGGATTGATTGACAACTTTTTTCTGGAAAACTTGCTTGTAACAAAGTTGCATTAGCGCGATTATCTGCAAGTAGAGAGGTGATTTCATCTTTAGCAATCAGGTCCAATAATTTGAAAATCGACAAAATTTTTTGAGCTTTCTATAAGTGTTGGAAGTGAAGGTGTCTACAGGTTCGACTATAACATAAGCTGACCTCGCCAAGTCACTTTCGAGAATGTCGAAAGCAGATCCACCTGACGATTATTGTAGCTCGATAAAATACGCGAAGTACTTTGAAGTTGTTGATCAGTACTCCTTGAGAATTCTGCTTCGAAGGAGCGATGGGTTTCCAAAAAAAGCAACGCAGGACTGGAAACTATACCAACTTCAATTGGTAAATCATTCGTATACAGCTTTGAGTGATAGTTCTTAGCAGTTAGAAAAAAATCTTTACCACTTCTGTATAAAACTTGGCCAATGCAGTTCAACAGAAGTTTCAACAAATCATATGCAGTGACATCAGCAGCAGTGCAGAACTCTTTTTAAATCAAATTCCACTTCCAAATCCACTGTACTTAGATACCGATGAACTTTCTTATCTTTGAAAAAAGTCACCCATAACACCAGTCGACATTTACTGTTCCAGGTTGTTTCGTCTGCGTGTATCCCGAAAGGCTTGGCATTGTACTCATCTTTTGCCTTTCTTTTTTACCCAGAGCTCAATCGCGTGTTCACCCAGGCATGCCACTTTTGTTCTGCCGCAACGAATATCAGCCCATTTAGAGTCGGAGATTATTGGCTTGAATAATGCTCGGTTCATTGAAGCAACGTCACTCGATCGAATTGACGGAGCATTGAGTGCCAGTTTCAGACATGAAGTAGTGTGAATGCAGCTCGCTTGTATTCAATATCGGAAGCACCTATAAAACCACTTGTTATACATTTTGGAAATTAAACTAACAAAAAATCGACAGAAAAGACATTAAACATCTCACTCAGGACAGCAAGAGAAACTGTAGACATTGATATCACTTCAAGGCCATTTTCGGCTGCAGTCTTATGTTTTTCTGTGCATGTATTTTGAGACAGTTTTCCAGTGATATCATTGCTGATATTTATCAGCCTTCCATCAAGGATGCACTTCACCACTGATGTTTTATCAGGTACACATTGCGCCCATTGAAACTTTTGTTTTAGTTCATTGCAGGGGTTTTTGAAACTGCACTTTCTCATTGTTCTCTGGAAAAGACATTTTTCACAACTAACTCTACTTCAGAAGGTACACGGAACATTATTCTGGAAAAACAGGGTGTTGAAGACTAAAATTTATTGAATAGTTTTCAAATAGTTACCAAACAGATACCAAATAGTCACTATAGATACAATAGATATCAGATGATGAAAAAGTTACCTAAAAGATACCACATAGATACCAGTATCTAATGGATACCATGGTGGTCTTTATTGCCACTTACATCATTAAAATTTACATTGCAATATTACTGAATCACCTTTTATTTGCGGAATCTGCTCACAATTTGCAGAATCCGCTGGCCTTGCGGAATATAACTCAATTTGAGGAATCTGAAACAACTAGCAATTTTTGCTCGTTGCGGATTCAGCGACAAAATCAATATGCCGACAAAGTTTACGTCTATTTGAGTGCGGATTTCACAAACCTTTTGTACATGGAGTTCACCTACATTTTAGATTATGTGTATAGACTTGTCTGTGGACTTCTGTGACCTGCAGCATTAACTAGCGCGCCTATACAGTGCACAGTTTGGCCTCGTTCTGATTCAGTTTCTTGTTCAGTAACTCAAAATTTTTTCAGATCTACTTATAAATTACCCCCTTTCGAGAATGGGGGTGGCAATTGTTAACTTGATTAAATTGCTTGAGTTTTCAACCAATCAGAAAACTAACTTATGCTAATTTAGTGATTTATTTAACAGGGTGGCAATTTTTTTCAGTAGATACCGTAGGGAGGGCGATTGTTAAGTAGGTCCTTTTTTCTTAGCTACTTTAGAAACTGAAATATTTATTTTGTAGGGGGTGGGACTGAGTGGGAAAAAAAGAATGTACTAGGATCAAATTTTGCATTCGGATATAAGTGTTTTTTTTTTACTTTTCAAATAAGATACTTCAATTTAAATTGAGATGGGATGGAAAGATATATCACTTTGAAGCCCGGTCAATTTTAATTCGAGTTATGACCCCTCCCCCTTACAGGAATTCGATACTTCCCCCACCCTATTTTACCACATTACATGCGAAAATTGTCTAAAGGCGCATTTAGCTCCAATCTATAACCATTTTAAGAGGGAAACAGCGCAAAAAAAGGCTCAGAAAATGAAAAAAAGTCGGCTGAAACAATCGCGAGAAAATCTTAGGGATCTTTTTTAGAGACCAAGACATCCTCCCCCTCAAAGCTGTTAAGGGCAAGTTTAGGGCTGTTTAAAGCAATTTAATATAAATTAAACGCTTGTGTGGAGGATCTTAACTATGTCTATTTGGGGGGGGGGGGGGGAGAGGGTGTGTGTGGTGTGTGATTGGTTGAAATTAACCCCAGCCATAAAAAATTCTTTTTCAAAGAAATGCTCAATTAACAATTTGATAGTTTTGGGCCGAATAACAGAATCGACCCAATACTATATCTGTCCCTGACCTGATTGTTAGAAATCAGTTGTCTTAAGATTGTTGGAGCTTGGCTGGATTTTAATTTTTGTTCCGACTTTCGATACGAAAGTAACGGAATATTTGTGCTTCGTCCTGATACGAGCAGTCTTGTTTATTTTGAAGGGTCGTTTAGCTTTTTCGACCGTTTAAATAAAAAGGGCCCTACAATCTCTTGAACAAACTGCCAGCTTTTTGATTTAGTAAGTATCATCTTAATGCGAGTGTCGATCGATTTTAATCTCGAACTGGATTCGGTTTTCTTTGATGCTTTGTCGATCAAACCTTCGGTGCTTCCGTAGTGATCTATTCTTCCCCTTTGATTAGTTACCAAAGGCTGCGCGTTTTGTAATACTGCACGAGTTTATTGGTTAAACATGAGCGATTAATTTAACTTAATCCGCAATTAACAAACTGTTTTGTTGTAAAAAGAGCTTGTAGAAGTTTTGTTTTTTGGCTGGCTAATTAATAAACAAGAAATTAACTTTCCAATTGGAATGAATTAAAGGCGCCGTCTTTTCAAACTAAGGCGCGGCTTCAGTCCTAAAAGACTAGACTTTCCATTGACAATATTGAGCTATGATGAACAACCGGCTTTGATTGACAGATGAAAAGGCGCCGATCTTTCCCACCATAAAACAGTATTCAAATCTGATTGGCTGATTGAATTTCGGTAACGAAGTTTGAGATGCTCGAAATAAACAAAACAACATTCCTCACATTCCATTGAGTTTTCAACAACCTCTTTTGTTTTTGTTGAGTATTCTGCTGCCAATTCTCAAATTAAAGAAGCTTTTGGATTTGGAAGATTCGAAACCCGTCGAAAAAAAAACTGAGAAAAATGATTGCGATGTCCGAGTTAAAATACTTGGAGGTTTGTAAAAATCAAATATTTGGGTTTAAATTAAATTAATCTAATATTTGATTCAGTTCTTGCAAAAATAGTTATATTTCGAGAGAAACGATAATTGAATCAAGTTAAAATTAACATCATCAATACCCAGAAACTTCGTGCACAATTGTCGTCAAGTGGCAATTCAGCCAATTGCCGAGAAAAAAAACGGAACGTAAAAACGAGCAATAAAATTGTTTACTACATTTTTGGAGAAAAAAAACTTCTAACTCGAGCGACAAAAGCTTTCCTTGAAGTTCGCGTATTTGCAGAAAAATCAAATCTAAAAAAACATCCGATACTCAAACTACCTCGTCAAGATAAAAGAAAATAAAATAAATTAATAACTACTTTTTTTGATATCCAATCTGCCGAAAAAAATTCTGGGAAGTTAAAAAACAACACAGGAGCAGATATGAAAATGCGTTTTTTGATACATTGTCGGAAAAAACGGGCGAAATTTTACCCATACATCGCTAAAATCCTTAATGCGCAGCTATTGGAATCCTCTTTCATTCATCATCAAAATGCATTCAACTAAATTCGTCATGAAAATCAATGGTTAACGTTCTTAATTGATCAAATTAACCCCATTCCTCCTAAACAGCCCAAGTTATGATCCTTAACCCAACTATCGAATTTGGGTAAAAATTGCTTAGTCTTCCGAAGCAAAAAATACTTCCTAAATATTTGAGGGGGGAGGATGTTAACTTATCTTCGTTTAGGATGACAACCAAATCCTCAACTTAGAGCTCCTTAAGATGACTCTGGACTTCGTTTTCTCCAACGAGAAACCGGTCGAACACTTCGAATCGGACCCCGACGACAAAGAGGACGACATCTGGGACGACATCTTCGGAGGAGCCGTGGGTTTCTGTCGGCATTTCTCGGATGCCGCGGGGGAGCAGACAGTGGTGAATGTGGAGAGGTGTCTGTCTCGGAGTCTCGGATCCTCGTCTCGACTAGAGTCCGAATCGGGATACTCGAGTCTTCTCAGCACGCCTCAAAGAAACGGCAGCAGATTCAACAGCGAGTCATTGTAATGATCTCTTCAACTGCCCTCCCCCCTCCCCCTACTATGATACCTAGTAACAATTCGCCTCCCCTAGAAGGAAATAATTGGTGCAAGTATGATATAAGATGGGTCCTAAAAAAAAGGCCTTCATTTTCGGGTACTAGTTTACTTGTTTGGTCCCGTGACAAAACTAGTTTAGATTATTTGTCCCACCTATTCTCTAAAAAGAAGAGCCAGCACTGGATTTGAACGTACGCCTTGGGGTGGGTAACCGCATACTGTATCTCGTTTTTTTTAGGGACCACAGCAGTTTTGAGGGACCAAGCAAGTAAACTTATTACCGATGTGACTATCTTTAGTACGGTTGAGTTCGACAAAAAAATTTCACATAAACGGATTTCAATTTGTCCTTTGTGTTTCAGAACGAGTGTGACCGACCAGTTGTTCAAGTGGTCTCCGAGTCTCCCGACCACCCCTGGCTCCCCCTCCAAAATGCTCCCGAGCCGAAGGAGCCAGTCTGCGGACAGTCCGAAGAAAACGTGCCAGCTGGTATCCCACATCGCACTACAACCCCGAGCCAGCCGACAACTGTTTCCGACTACGACAAACACTCGTGAGAATTCAGTGCAGAGAGACAGGCGGGGGGACTTAAACTACACCTCGGGCAGAGTGTCGCCATCAGGTCAAGGGGGATCCTCGTCGGCGACTTCGGTGATCAACGCGAATAAGTACAAAACAATGCACTGCAGAAATTACTCATTAAAAGGTAAATATGGAACACAACATAAGATTTTTTCCGATTAAAATAGAAAAATGAAAACTTTGAGATCCAGGTAACAGGCCAATTTATAGGCCCATTTAACAGGCACATTAAGTTTAATTAAAATAACAGGCCCATTTAAAAACAGGACCAAAATTTCGAGCTTAGAGTAGTTTTCGTTTATGATTAATTGTTTTTTTTTTTCAGAATTGGTCGAAGATTTTGAAGGCCATGAAAATTTCTTTATGCACCCATTTTAAATTTAATCATTTTAAACATTTGGGTCAAAGTTAAGTTATCAAAGTCACTACCAAAATCTACCAAGGCATCTGGATTTTACGCGAACTGGCTTCTAAAGACCCCTTTATCACAATTGGAACCAAGTTAACATCATCCCCCTCCGCCCAGCCGTTCAAGGGGGGATGTTAACTTGGTTCTGAGGTCGAAATTTCAGCCAATCAGAATAGAGCGTTTCTCACGCAGCGCTGTGCAAATTTAATTAAATTTAATTTAATTTGAGCGCTGAGGTGGAGGATCTTAACTTGGTCTATTTTTTTTTTGGGGGGGGGGGGGGGGGTAGTGGTTTTTGGAAGGAGCTGGAAGTTAGCTTGATCCCACAATTGTACCGACTTATTTTACAGGCGCGTGTGAGTACGGAACCAAGTGTCAGTTCGCCCATGGCAGCGGCGAGCTCCGAGTTCAGTCGCAGCACCCCAAGTTCAAAACTGAGATGTGCCGAAACTACATCGAGCTCGGCTACTGCGAGTGGCGGGATGCCTGCATCTTCCGACACGGCGACTCCGACTTGATCAACCCGAAACTGCTCAAGCATCTCGCGTCGACCGAGCCAAACTCGGATGTCTAAAGGAACACCATCACTGATTATTCTTCCGATTTCTTTAGGATTCAACAAAGAGAAAGAATTCTGAACAAACTAGAAACCAAGTTTTAGAACCAACCAAGATTTGACTTAGAGTATTTTCGCTCATCCTCTTGTAGCATTTTCAGGGATTCACATCTAGATGATTTAGTAGTTTTGATTCCTGAATGCAAATTTTAGAATTTGTTACTTTCATTTTGATTTTTACTGGCGATATATAAACCAGCTGAAGTATTAAACCAGCTTCCATCTAAACCAACTGAAAATACATAATTTTTTCTACACTATTGCGAATGACATAACTTTTGGTTGTTTATATACAGTGGCAGCGGCGTACGCAGAAATTTTTCTTGGGGGGGTGGTTTCAAAAAATTTTGAAAATTTTGTCGTTCTTTCTTTTTTTAGTTTTTTTTTTTGGTTTATATGTCTGTTGGTTTACTCGCACTTGTAGACTTGTACAATTCCGATTATTTGAATCTTCGAATAATGAATTTCATCAAAAACACTCTAGGTATTAATTGCCTAATCTTATCTTGCTAGTCTGATATTTATGCTATCCTTTGCTGCTAAGGTGTAATTTCTATACATTTCAGTTGTTGCTGATGCTTGCCAATTTGTTTTTTTTTCCATAAAATTTGCCATATCGATGATTATGGTTTTATGAAATCGGTTTTCCGTAGAGTATACTGATATAACTGAATAGTCGTTGATAAATGTGCCTTTTTATTGTCATAATTAGTTGATTCAAAATCAATTAAGCTTTCGTGATGCTGTAGGTAACAAAGCAGTACTTTTAGTTCGAAACTTGAAAGCTGTCTTTCAAGTTTTTTCCCAATTTTAGGTGATATATGTTTTGTAATTTTGAGTATTTGAAATGATGATATTAAATCTTTGAAATGTTTGATACTTGATATTTCTTCAATCTGAATAGCTAGCAATTGATTGCTCTAAAAATGGCTCTCCAAACTCAAATTTCATTTTAGTTTTCAATCAAATTCACTATTTAAATTTCAACAACTTTTTCAAGACAGAATTAAGCATAGGATCGCGCCCGGGGATATAATTAGTTCACCCCTTTCTCTCCCCCTCTCTCTCCCCTCTTATAATACCCTGCACCAAGGGCGGAACTTGGACTTTTACGAGGGGGGCGGATTTTAAATAATTTTCGAAAATTTTGTCGACCTTTTTTTAGGTCGACCAAATTGATTTTTCGAGCTCTTCCAAAGCACTGTTTTGTCCCTATTTTGGCCAAATTTTCTGCGCTGCAGGAAAAATTTTGAAAAAACAGGCCAAAATAGGCGTTTTAAGGCACTTTTTGGAAAATTTTGACCGAAAGTTCGTTTTTTCGGCGCGCGCTCTCCCCTTAAAATTAGTATATATTGGCGCCAAAGGCGCCTTTAGAAAAATTTTAAGGTTGGTCGGCCAAAACTGGATTTCTTAAAAGTACCAAAGGGTCGGCAGGGGTCAAATCCCTGAGGGGGGCGTCCCCTTCCCCGTAAATCCGCCCCTGCCCTGCACTCTATCTTGACCATCCTATATAATCTCGACCCTTCACCAAAATTTTAATCTTCTAAATTGATTTCGCAAATGATTTTTTTGGGTTGTAGAATCTTGAAGTTTCTACAACTCTGCGAAACGGGCTGATGCATTGGCATGTCAGTCATAAAAGTAAGCAAAACAGGTAACCGAGTACATAGCTGGCGGAGCAACTTATAAGGTAGCCGTTCATTACTCTTCAAGTTTGCGCGCCTTCAGTTAAAGAAAAAACACCTGGTAACAATTACCAGACTGCTCGTATGAGGACAAAGCCCTGAAAATTCTGACTGCCTTGTTAAGTTATGAAATAGTTTTGGCTTGAAAAAATGATCAAATTTCCAAAAAAAAAGAAATTTCAAAAAAAAATCCAGATTTTTTAAAAATATTTCCTAAACACGCTATTTAAAATGCGAGGTAACATTTTTTATATATAGCAAAGCTTTACTTAGTTTGAATTGCATTGCAAGCCTCATTTCAATTTGGACCAATTTCCATGAATATTCCGACTGCCGTTTAAGGTTTATGGAGCAGCAATAACATAAATATCATTAACAAATTAAATGTAATTAAAAAAAACTATTTTTTTTTCTAAAATTTGAAAACTTTTTCTGAGAAAATCATCCCCCACACGCCAAACAAACTACAAAGAAATAGATTTCGCTCCTTGTAACAAATCAATTATGGCAATTAAGCTTACTTCAACCAATTTGGAATGATTTCTAATGCGGATTAAATCTCCGCTAACGCGTTAATAGCGCGAAATATATCGCGCGTTTATTGTCCCAAATTGGCTAAAATGGCAATATTTAAACCCCACAACTTTACAAAAAATCATCGCAGGTGAAATATCTTTTCAAATTTAAGCTAAGGACAACAATACTTTCTGAATGATATTTTAAAATGCCGTCAAAAACGGCTAGTTAAAAAGTCGAAATTTGTCTGAAGAAAAAAAAACCCACCGGAGCACAAATATTCCGTTCTTTTCGTATCAAAAGTCGGAACAATAAAGCTCCGCTTATACGTTAAAAGGACGAAATAACGCGCTTTAATTGTCTCAAATCTGCGAATTTGGCAATCGTTAAACCTTAATAATTTTACAAAATATAATCACCACAGGTGAAATATTATTTTAAATTTAAATTTTAAAAACTTTGTCAAAAATTGCAATTTATAAAATAAAGTATTGTCTGGAAAAAAAAAACACATAATCCCCGCCAATTTCTTCAAACGTTATAGAAGTATGTCCAGAATATCTAAGAACAGTCCATTTCTCTTTTTTCGCCACATTTCAGACTAAGTTGTTTTGTTGAGCAAGTCTCTTGTTTTTGCAATTCAAGGCCATTTTTTGCATCTAGAACTTTCACGTGGTACCATTTTGCAACCAAAACTGACCAAACTGCCCTAGAACTAAAGCCAGAGATCATGTGAGAGCTCATCCTCACGTATTACAACTTTTCAAAGCCTATCGAACGATCGGTAATTTGAAAAGAATTATAGGTAACTTCTATTGAAAGAACATTTATTTCGTAAGTTCTAAAGAATAGAAAAACAATGGAGTGCTCACAAGTTACTTCAATCAATTGAAAACATGTTATTTCAAATGAAAACGAAAGGGTTATAATAACAGAATCAACGGTTTTTATGCAACATCCATTGTTCATCTATCTGTTTTATTCCTGGCCGAACAATCCGGGATATATGTCATCGTATGATTGTATCAACCAACACATTTTTGTGGGTAATCTCACAATTTGTTCGTTCCACAATAATGTTGTTGGTCGGCCAAAGCTATATAATCTTCTCCACGCGAACGCGATTCGATTAAACGTCGTTTGTCGATACATGAAATTTTTTTATACTTCGCCATTGATTCAATTGGACTCTTACGATTTCAAAACAACTTATGAACACACATTTGAGCACTCATTTTTTCTTGACTTTCAATTGAAAATACAGTTTGTTCAAAAGATGTCACTAAAGTTTCAATGGCTTTGAAATGGTGCATTATGATTATTCTGACTATTATGATTAGTATTACGATTTTTATAATTATGATTATGATTATTCTGATTACTATGATTATTATTTTTACTAGTATTATGATTATTATAATTATTATGGCAGAGAATCAATACACAAACTGCCAAGCTTAGAGAGAAGCTTTACACGTACGTTATGTGTTTCCAACTTAAAAAAAAAACAATTTTGTGCCAAAAACATCACAGATTTCATTTTATCCATCATCTGAAACATCTTCTATTATTTCAACTTTTCCTATTTTTTGGTAAAATTTGTAATGATTCCTTCCGTGTTTATTTTCTGTTTTTTTATCAATTTAGAAACATCTTGGTTAGTTTTTTTAAAACTCAAATGAGAAGCATAGTAACTGAATTGGGAAAAAGTATTAAACGATAAATGAAATTGACTCTAGAAGAATTCAAATTTACGAGTTTGCTGGTAAATTTTGCTGGTAGTTTGCTGTTAAATTTTGTAGCTGCTTTGTAATTTCAGGAGATTGAAATCGGAATAGTATTAGCGCCGAACAAAACAATTTTGGAGTATTTTCAAACCTTTTTTTTAATGAAAACATGATACAGACAAAAAAATATGAGAAGATAAATGAAGCCTTTCACTGTAAAAAAAGTTCTGGAAATCAGCAATTTTTTTTAAAAGTGGGGAAAACTTATCTTTCTAATCAAATATTTGAAAGTAAAAAAAACCGTCAGTTATAGGAAATTGTAAATATTTTTTTCCATTTTTTGGTTTCATACGTTGCTCTCGAAAAACCATGCTCGAAATGTAAACAGTTACTTAGATTATGAGTTAAGAAAACTGAATAATCAATCTATAGTGTTGAATAAAAAGTAATACCCAAAATTATAAATATAATTTTTTTCAGCTTGTTTGGATTAAAATTCTGATGTTGCCATCTTATCAAAATTAGTAAGAATATCAAGATTTTCTATTTTTTTTTCTTTTTTTTTCAAGAAAAACAATGAGAATAAGCAAAATTTGAAAAATACTTGCATACGTGTTGAAAATAAATTAAAAACACATGCTTAAATCCTAAATTTTCACACTGCTGGTTGCTTTATTTTTGCCCAAAGCATTCAAAAAATTCATGGCGTTTAATTTGTTTTGATTAAAAAAACAAATTTAGTTGTCTGATTTCAAACTGTTTTGAGCATTTAATTTTTTTCATGAGACTCAAAAGCTTCACAATCATTTCAAGCACCTGTTAATTAATTTAAACCTTTAATGAAAAGATATCTCAAAATAGAAAAAACACTCAGGTAACGTTGCTTCAATAAGAAAACAACAGTAAAAGTAACAAGACCTGTGTGAAGCCCTGAATGCTCCGACTGACTTTTAAGGTCTCAGGAGCAGTAATAACATTAAATTTATCAAAAAATAAGAAAAACATTTTAAAATTTGAATTTTTTTGTAAAATCATCCCCCACACGCATCAAAGCACGAAGTGATTGATTTTTCTCCTAGTAACAAATCAATAACGGCAAATAAGCTTCCTTCAACCAATTTGGTACGATTTCTAAGACGGATTAAATCTCCGCTTTCGCGTTATTATCAAATTGGCAATGTTTAAACCCCATAACTTTACGAAAAATGATCACAGGTGAAATATGTTTTACAATTTAAGCTCCGAACAATACCCTTTGAAAGATACAAAAAAAATTCCGTTAAAAGGTCTAGTTAAAAA